GTAAATAGTAAAACCATAACCGCATTTCTTAAAGACAAATAAATTCACAAATCTACCAAAGAAAACAAAGAGGAAACATGAAAATATCTGGGATAAAAGAGACATCACAAATGGCGTATCTATTTAGAGGCTAATAGAATATAACAGATAGTTTTATGTTCATAAATCCAACAACAGATTCAGAAAGTTCTTCAAAGATATAATTTACCATAGCTCACTAAAGAGTAACTGGATAAGTGAACAATCCTATATCTATTTAATGAATTTATAGTTAAGAATCTATGGACAAAGAAAACACAAGGCACAACTTCGTTGATAAGTTATACATATATGGAATCATATATATATATAGAAATCACACATATATGGAAACTTAATATCGCTACATAAAATATTCCAGAAAGTGGAAATCACAGGAGAAGTTATTCCTCAACTCAATTTTCTTGAGATTACCGAGCTCATTTGGACAAAATCAACACAATGCCAAAATGAGAGAGAGCACTGTAAGGAGAAGAAACCAGAGGTCGATACTCCTCCTAGTGCAGAGGAGAGGTTCTCAACAAAATCTCCACAAAGGGACCCCACAAATATATCAGCAGGATATGAAGTCATAGCAAATAGGGTTAATATGGGAATGCAAGACTGTTTCAATACTCAAAAGTGAGCTCGAGTGTATATATCCTTATCAGTACACTGAAGAAGAAAGTCATATGATCCTCTCAACAGGTACAGAACAAAGTTGAACCCAATGCAAATTCCAAGCGGAATGAAAACACTCCACAAAACAGGATTAGAAAAGATTTTCCTTAACCAATTCCACAGTTTACATTTAAGACTGAATTGACTCTAGGCATTGAGATTCCCACCTATAATCCCAGCACTTCAGGAGGCAGGAGGATCTCAGTTCAAGGCCTGCTCAGGCAAGGGTAGTGGCAAAGTCCTGTCTCAAACACAAAACAAAAATGAAATGGCTACAGGTGTACCTCCCAATACAGCACTTGCCTAACATCTGCAAGGCTCTGGGTTCAATCCACAGTACCCCAAGAAAAGATTGAATTGAGAGATTTGGCTTATTATTTTTCCCCACACTGGTGACCCTGCCAAGATAAATTATTTTCAAACTATTTTTATGTAATTAACAATCTTCCCAAAATTCCAGGGTATGCCATAATCAAATTCTGCTTGAACTGAAGTAATATGAAGTGAAATTAAGCCAAGTCTTGTTTATACCTCTAGTATCAAGTGCAATGTTTGATAAGTGGTAAGCATTCCCTTGGAAATTAATTTGGAAAGCCATCTATCTTTTATTGCATGTAAATCATTTTTATGCTTGAGAATTTATCAAAGTAAGAAAAGAAATAGAAATAGCCAGAGATTGGGAACACCAATGTTCAAGGCCGACCTGGACAAATGAGTTTACTGTAACCCCAGTTACAAATTAGGATCACAGTGCAAGACCAGCCTGAGCAAAAAAGCATGAGAGACTCTCTGAAATACAACTAAAGAAAAACAGCTGGCAGTGTGGCTGAAGTGAGTGCAGGGTCCTATGTTCAAAACCCCATACTGCCAAAAAAATAACTAAAGCAAGAACTCACAGGTTATTTGCACCCCTGTGCTCATAGCAACATTCTTGACTATGACCAAAGGGGGAAACAACCCAAGTGGCCATGAATGGATGAAGAATGGTGAAAAAAGTGTGATCTATGTATCCAGAGGGATACCATCTATCCTTAAAAAGGAATGACATTCTGACACACAGTGCCATGTGTTAGAAGTTTGAACACATGCTAAGTCAACTAAGCCAGATACAAAGTGACCGCCCTCTATGATTCTACCTTGGTGCGGACCTCACAGGGTGCACCAGAGATTTTGGAGTTCGGGGAATGTGCAGAGCATGTAGGAAATGCTGGCTGGTGACACAGCTGGATACTGTGTAGCTATACAGCATGATTGGTGATTATCTCATATGCTCACATCATGGAATTATGTGGTCTAAATATACAAAATAGTAATCATAAACAAGCTTGAGAAATGAAAAATCTTTATTTTTTACAAAAGTTTTCATAAATGCATCTTTTATATGCATGCTATTATAACAAAGCAAATGAAAATATACGGTTAAGATATTTCTATGCAAATGTAAAAAGTAATATTCTAATCCCCCCAATTTTTAAAAATTGAAAGTAGAATAAGCAATTCTTCAAAAAATAGCCATTTCCCCGCATGCAATCATCACAATGGTTTAACAGGGAAAATTAAAAGAATCAGTCAAATGAATGTTTAATGCCACTGTCAACTCATGAATACCCTTTGCATGTGGGACCAGGTTTAGAAACTTGTGTTCCAAGTATTAGCTATTGCCTCTGTGTTACAACCAGTAACGTGGACTCATGGAAGAGTTTCCCCTTCAGGGTTTGGTTCTCGCCTGGATGCTAGTGTCATTCTTAATGCAGACACACAGCAAGATAATGCAGCACACATGAGAAAAAATTTACATGACTAGGATCCTTTTTACTTCTCATTTAAATGCTTCCTTAAAATAAACACTGGCAAGAAAATACAGCTAACTTACACTTTACCAATTTAATACATGATTATTCATTCTTTTTTTCCTGAGATATTAAGTTTGCAAGTTTGTTTTCATGCAAAAATACATTTCCCATTCTTTACATTCATTTTGTAATATTTTATATTTTAAACAACTATATCATATTTGTGCTTTATACATTTGGAACATAAAGAACAATTTATTTTCTTTATGGAAAAATTAGAGATTGTTGGTTTTTTGATGCAATCAAATTAAGTGCTGACTTCAAGTTGCTGAAACATTTCCTGATTGTAAAAATTGCAATGGAAATTTGTTTTTTCTCATACTTGTAGTTTCACCTAAATTTCAAATGAAAGTGACTTGTATATGTGAGGAAGTCACGGCATGGTTAATCCTTGGACTTGGGAATTTGAGTGCCCAATATACAGAGCTCAGCGTACTACTTCACCTGGCTAGAGACTCCTATTCCATCTGGAGAGGGAGTCTCAGTATTACATAAAGATATCTTTTATGACAAAAGGAAAAATATTTGTGTATATCCGATTTTGTAATACACACAAAAGGATTGATTTGTAAAATGTGAGAATAACATACTTGAAAGAGAAACAGGTAAAAAGGCCAAACATTCAATCATAGTTATGCTTAAGGAACCAATTTTCTATAACACCTCTAAACTTAGACAGGATGTAATACCCTTGGCTCTTGAGTAAATAGTCTTTTTCCATAGTGGTGAAAGTGAAAAGCAATTTCCCCAAAAAAACTAAGGCTGGGAAATCTGGAGCAAACGGGATTTTTCCATTAATGCATGCTATCTCATTTTCCCTTTACTACAGAGCATTAGACTGACATGCAATGTATTTAGGGTCCATGGTTTGCTTTTCTTGGCATATCTGCACTAATCCATTCACTGGTACAAATGTGATTATTTACATACAGTTCAGGAAGTCCAGTAGAAACCTAAGATCTTTTGGTGACAACCTTAAGTTGTCCATAATTAATCATTTCTAAGTAGTATGAGGTATAAATACAATCAAAATAAGTTTTAATAATTTTCTTGAGTTACATTATTTTAAATTCTTTTGGAAGCAGGCTTGGTGGAGAGGAGGCTGAGGTGGGAGGATGTTGAGTTCAAGGTCAGTCTGGATTACACAGTGAGATCAAGACAAGCCTGAGCTACACAGTGAGACTGCCTCAAAAAACCAAGGGTTGCAAATGTAAGTCAGGTAGTATGCTCGCCTAGCATGTGCAAGGCCTTGGGTTTGAATCCCTGCCCTCAAAAAAGTAGTTCTTTTAGAATGAAAGCCAACTATGAAATTTTAGTCACGTGTAAGGACAATGTAAAGCTACTTGCCCTTAAAATAGTATGAACTCCCAATTCAGGTAATGAGTTTCACTTTTAATTGGTCAAATATGTAAGTAAGTATTTAAAAAGTTGGTGTTATACAAATGTGACCTTGGACATGGTATGTGCTTAGCTCAGAAATGCTTTTAAAAACTGATGTGTACAGAGCTGGGGATGTAGTTTAGTGGTAAGGCACTTGCCTATCATGGGCAAGGCCCTGTGTTCAATCTCTAGCACTGTAAAAATCAAGAGAAATTAATGTGCACACAACTAGCTCGTCAAATTTAAAAGGGCAACAGTGGGTCTTCAGAGCGACATGCCCAAGGTATATGTAAAATATGGACTAAATAATTTAATGAACTTGTGGTCCACTTTTGCCGAGTCATCCCTAGGCCCACGTGATGAAGAGGGTTTTACCTGCCAACGTTCAATGATGGTTCCGACTTCTTCCAGGGCTTTTGTACTGCAAACTGAGCACATGTAGTTTTGAATGAACATGTGAATCACACGTGTGCTGTCCATGTGCTCTCATCCCTAGAGAAGAAAAACACATTCCTGCTGCACAGTCTATAGCTTGGAACTGAACAGCTATCCACGGAATCAGAGCTTTTGTCATATCAAACTGTTGGCATCCAATGTGTGTGTGTGTAAATACAGATGCAAGAAAGGAGTTTATGGTTAAACCTAGGAGCATTTAAAGACTCTAGAAATGGAATTATGCCATTAGAAAATATTTCTCTATGATAGACCGATAACGTGTTCCAGGGGGATTGTGAAGAGAGTCTTCAAAATGTCTTTGAAAAAATTATTTTCTTTGGAAATAACATCTACCCCTCCCCACGACCTGCCTTGATAGTCTTATTGAAAGACAGTGAAGTTGTTCAGAATTACAGCCATACTGAGAATGGAAGAGGGGAAGACTTCTTCAAGGAACATAGGTACGTTAATTGCTGCCCACCCTGAGAAATAACTGAATTCTCCTCCCAAGTCTCCACCAAGTTCCATTCACTGTAAAGTCAACAGACATTGTTCAAAATTCATTATGGTCAGAAGTCCATGAATATCTACACACTATCCTTGAGTAGTTTTACATTACATTTTATAGGTAGCTCCTGAAGATTTCAATGAACTTTATATGAGAAAACATACTGAAAGATCTTTGTAAGTTGCTATACAAATATAACATTTGTTTTAGGAATATCTGAATTTACATTTTTCATGAATAAAAGTAAAACTCAGAGAGAAGACTTTTTCTCATTAATCAGGATTGTTATGGTTAAGGAATCTGAAGTCAAGTAGAATGTGAGTTATGTTTTGTTTTATTGTGATTCTGTACACCTTTTCATTTTTAAATCTGATTTAACTGTGATTTTGACAATCAGTTATTGAATGAGGTAGTCCACATTGTCTAGATATTCACTGTAGTGTGTTATTCCACAAATAATTAAGTACAATGTATCAGTCGTGTTTTTTCTCCTTTGTGTTTAATAGGAATTCTGTGAACATTGAGAATATATTACTTTTAGTGGTACACAGTTCTTGATTTTCACATTGCCATTTGTGGTATTTTTAGCAGCTTGCTACAATATCATTTTAATAAAAATAAAGTGTACTTGGTGATGATAGAGAAAATATTGTTAAAGACCTCTTGGGACAGGGAAAGGCTCGATCAAAAAATCAGATGCATATTCATTTCCAGCTGTGTCATTTGACTTATGACTTTCAAGAATTACTGTGATGTTGCTGCCCAGCCCGTCACACCGAGAACTTTCCTTGAGCTTCACATGGAGATGGAGTAAAGCTCTTCTATTTGTTTTCTGAAGTACTCTCTCAGCTCTGGTCTCTTAGCCTTTAGTGTTGGTGTCAGCAGGCCATTTTGAACTGAGAACATGTCACAATGGATGTGAATGGCTTTAACCTAAAAACCAAATGCAGAATACATCTTTCACAAAAACCAAACACAGCATTCAATAGCATACGTAACAGCTAAGTCAAAATTAGGTGAATAAACATTTTAGCCCATTTGAGAAATCTAAAGGCTACCCAAACTTTTCCCTTCCTACTTAATCATTTAGCAAGTCAACAGAAATAAACTCACTGTTTACTCTGTGTCAAGCACTGAGACTATCATCCCCTGCCATCAGGGAGTACACATTCGTATCCAACAGAGCCAACTGAGAGACGCTGGGCAAGTATTAGTACAGGATGCACAGGATGAAGGGCACTTCATCCATAACTGAGTTATGGTAGGGGAAAGGAAGAAGCAGTCAGGAAGACTTCCCAAATCAAGTGAGTGCTTAAAAAAAAATGAGTAATAGGCAGTTACCAAAGAGGGAGAGGTGAGTGGAAAAGGACCTCATAGGCAGAGGCAACCCTAAGAACAAGGCCAAGAGGTGCAAAAAAGAAATGCAAGTAGCTTCTTGTTGTTACATAAAATAGGAGGTAAAGTGCGTAACAAACAAAGCTGAAGTGGTAGATTGGCCAGTGGTAGAGGACCTCAAACTCTGTTCTAAAAACAACAGGGGGGGGCTACAGATATTTATACACAGTGATGGCATGGCTGAATATACATTGTAGAAAGATGCTTTGGGGGAAAATTAAGACTGGAAGCATCTGGGCCAACTCATCAGAGAGACGATAAGGACCTATACTTAGGGCAGTGGCAGAGACAGAGACAAGTAAATAGTTTTAAAGGATTCAGAGATAAATGGACATGGAAAATGGAAAGATGGAAAGTCTAGATCTTTAAGGACCTGCACCTACCTGGGACCATTTATCTTTCAACTACTTATGCACAGGTGGAAAAACTCAATCCAATGTGTTTCAGACGCTGTAAGGTTTTTTTCTGCTAGAACTGACAGCACTTTTTATATACTACCTAAGCCAGGTTTTGGTAGGACTCATTGAAAAGGAATACCTGAGTTGAACTCTGAAGGATACGTAGACTTTGGCAAGATGAAGATAGCAAGAGGGAGCGGGAGTGGCTGCTCTATGTCCTGAGCAGAAGAGTGTACTCAGGCAGAGGTAACATGTGCCAAACATGTCCAGGACATTGCAAGTGTAGGCTGAAAGCAGATGGCACAAATGACAAAGAAAGTGATGACACTGGAAAGATTGGCCAAATTATAAAAGATCAACATACCAAGCTACTGGGTTTAGACATGACTTTTTAGGCACTAAGCTCTTTGAAAAGATTCCTCTGTTAAGAATGGACTGATGTGGGGTGAGAAGCTGAATGACCATCTGTGAGCTGGGCTATGAATTGGCTATGGGGATAGAAATAGACTTTGGACTTTGGGGGTAGAAAGGACCAGGCTTAGCAACTGGTTTGAGTAAGAAGGAGAGGGAGGGAGGGAGTAAGGGAGGGTAGGGAGGGAGAGAGAGACAGGGAGGGGGAGAGAGAGAGAGAGAGAGAGAGAGAGAGAGAGAGAGAGAGAGAGAGGGAGAGAGAGAGTGAGAACAGCTCCACTATCAGCTTAGACACTAAGATGTCAGAAACTGGAGCAGAAAGATTTTTTGAAGGCAGGAAGATCAAGCATTCACATTAAGCTTGGAAGGTTTCTGAGACAACCACGTGGACTTTGGGCATCAGATTTATTAGTCTAGAAGACAAAACTGCAGCCTGGGCTTGAGACAGGGAAAGAGTGACCTGCGGGGTAGAAAAGATTCTGCGTGTTAGAAAAGCTAGGAGAATAAGACTGAGAGGGCACAGTCAGAGGCTGCTGTGCTATGAGAACTGTTTATAAGGTCCCATGGTCACAATCTAGAAATACCTTATTTCAAAAATCAACATGCATAAATAGTTGTCAATGTGTCAATTAAGGGCTGTTTTCAGAGTCTCTGATGCTAACAGCCCAGCATCCTGGCAGGTGGGTATTTAAAGATGACAAGGAATTCTTCACTTGGAAAATGCTCCATTACATTTACTGATTCTTCAGATTAAAAACTCAATATGCAAAGAAGATCCCTAAAATAGCTATACTTCCAACTTAGAAAAAAAAAAAAACCTCTAACAAAAAAAATTCTAACAAATTCTGGCACTTCACCTATATTTCTAATTAAAGAATATCTAAAGAATTTCTAATTAAAGAATATGAAAGTTTTCAAAAGAGCACAGCATTAATAAATCAGGTTCATGTTTGTCTCTAAGAAATTTGTCCAAAGGAAGGATTGCCTTTTCCCTTACAGTAGCTTATTTCTGCAATAAGAACGGCATTTTTAAGGGGTTCACTTATGTTGGGGATGGGGCAAATTCTATGCTAAAACTGCAGCTAGGATTATAGGAGCTGCCTTGATTTTACTTCACATTTTGGAAGGATTTCTACCTGCATAACCCCATCTTAACAATTGGAATTCCAAGACTCTTGGTTAAAGAGGGTATCATGAACTATTTCAAAATTAATTTAAGTTCTCAAAAAGTGTTACATTTGAAAATTCTCTCAGTGTGCCTGATATTCAAAGAGGCACATATTTGGGCAAGAATGGGAGTAATACTCTTTGTACTCTATGGAATGTTCTTTCCCCCTTATTTGTCATTATTAAACATATATCATCCTAGGAAACAGTTCCCAAGGGAAAAGCTTAGTGCATGCACTGAAGATGAGGGAATATACAGGGGTTGCTGCTGGGGGTGGTGTGACATGAGGTGAGGGGAAGAGTGGAGATGTGGAAGGGGAGGAAGATGAGGTGGGGAGAGGCAGAGTTTGGTGGAGATGAGGTGGAGGAGGGGTGAGGCAAGTTAGTCAGGTGCTTAGGGATGAGGGGGATGTGAAGGGGTGATAGCTCAAGCCCTAAACCAACCATAGCAGCACCATTCAACTTTTATATAAGATTTTATCTAGGTTCTACTTTTAAAAGTTTGGAAATGATTATATGGTGTAAAATTAATTAGCTTGAAGAAAACATGAACACAGTCTAAATCAAAATGAATCCTAGATACAGTGATTCAGTATAGTACTAACACATAAATGAAAAACCCTCAGCTTTAAAAAAAAGTCTATTCTCGTAGACACCCAATCAACATAGACTTTTGGCAATAGGAAACCATCTAACCAACTCCTTTTTATGAAATTAGTAGCAATTTTAAAAAGGAGACACAAATGCTGGAATACCGCTTCTAGAGTCTTTGCATCCTAGATTTCAGCTATATTCCCGACAGAATGTGAAGAACGAGAGTCTATGTCCGATTACTGCTGTAATTGGGATGAGGTCTGTGTTCAGTCCAGGGACTTGGAGTGGACACTATTGAAAATGTACTAGTGACAGCAGAAGCTACAAAATATACAGTCCAGGAAAGATGGCCGTCATAGAGAGAGCTAGGAATGCTGTTTAGATGGTGAGTAGAATGTGAAAGAACACCAACTTGGAAGGAAAGAACTGCACATGCAGACTGAGTATCTGCCACACCAGCTACCTGGGGCATATTCAAAGGGCAGTTCACATGCTGTCTACCAAACAGTTCTGCTTGAAGAGAGACCCTACCATCAAATCCAGCCTTGCAGAAGGCCAATTGAGCAGCATGAGCTCAGCTCCCCTTTAGTACTTGAGTAAGTCAGAGATACCGATGCCTGTCCCTGTTCCTGGCTGGGCCCATTTAAATTCTTTCACAAAATACCTACACCATCAGCTTGAGTGACCAAAAGTCTAGGAAGTAAATGGAAAACAACTGAGTTGTATCAGTTGCTTAACACATACCTTCACTGTAGGCCCCAAATCTATACTTTTTTTTTCAGAAGTGAATCAACAATAAAACACACTTTCATTTTCCATAACTATAAGCTTTCTCATAAAAACAAGCTGTCTAATTTAGAGCCTATAAAAAGTATGAGAATCCTTATTCTTCATTTATGTCAATCACACCATGATACTGGCTTTCCAAATTTTAATGCGTTTTTGTTGGAGAAAGAAGGAAATGCTTAATGTTAGCTTCCTTTCTTGAGACCACATTTTTGTTACTGAAAAGACTGTATAGAGATTTTTTGCTTAAATTTTGAAAATTAATTGGAGTAAAATACCTCAAAAGTCTCCATTTATGTCAACCCGTAAAAGCATAATTTTGAAGAAATACAAAGTATTTTAAGGTTTTCAAAGGTGTTAGTCAATGAAATATATTGAACTCAATATTGCTTGTAAGTAATAAACACAAAGCAAATAATTTAGGATGGAAGAGATAAAGTAAAAAACTAAAACATTGAAATTAATTAGGGAAATGATCAATTCATTTCTGATTTAAAGGCAAATTGGTTAGTGTTCATATGTATTAATAAGAGGAGATACAATACAAAACTGGTAGTGAGGGCTTCACTATTAAAATTTAAAAACAAATCTATCAAGTACCCATACAAATTAATAAGCAAACAAATGTCAAGAAAAATTATAAATCCTGGTTAAATATACTTGAATACTTATCAGCCACCTACATATTTTAATTATTGATGGAATTGTTGCAAATGCTTCCTATTTACTTATCAAAATATATTTTCCAAAGAAATTAATAATGGTTGGCCTAGTTCTAGGAATTATATGTTTCTGGAAATTATATTTTAGTAAATCAATTGTTTTCTAATTAAAAGTTCAATGCAAGGCAACCCAGCCCAGTAGACTTGAACTTCTAAAGCTTCTGTGGAAAGACTTGAACTCTGTGTGTGTGTGTGTGTGTGTGTGTGTGTGTGTGTGTTTAGAGTTAAGCCTTCACTGACTATTCATTTTTGAGGAGAGAAAAGGACACGCTGAGAAGGACACGCTGAGGACATGCTGAGACTGGATCGTGGATTAACTGAACAACTTATGTTGAGCTCTGGCTCACAGCTGGGAGTACACCCTCCTCAGGCATGAAGCCTGGTGTTTTCTCTTCTGTGGTCAGTTGAGGGCACACACCACTGTAAAGGGGAGGATGCCACAAAGCAACAAAGAGGACAATGAAAACAAGAAAATCAAGAGGTGACAACCTTGGCAATAAAACTAAAGATCTCTGAATGCCACATGACTTCCCTGCATTTGAGGTCACCATGGTAAGGATAGATCATTAGAGCAGAAATTCTGGTTAAGGCATGCGGAAGTCAAGATCACTTCTCTCATTATGAAAGCAAAGGCTGACACTAGCAACTTGTCCTAACCCCAGCAGAGGGCACACAGGCCTTGGGAATGTTCACAATGCTCAAGGATGTCCACAAGTGCATACTTAGGCTACTGACAGCTGCCCTTCAAATCACCACACAGGCCCAGATCACCTGGGTCTGCGATCACTCATCTGTGGCTGTGCACTACATGGTAACATATGATCCAGTCACACAACCCCCATTAAGGAAAGACAATGAAATCAGTTCTACCAAATTTGACATTTTAAATAGTTATTATGCAAAATAAATCTTTCATTCAGAAAGATACATGTAAAGTTTACTGAATACCTCAGATTTTAAAAGTTTTTTATATAAAGGTCCCGGCTTTAATTGCCCTAAAACATACTGACTGACAAAGGTAAAGCCGTGTTCCTCAAACTGTATTAATGTAAACACCTATTTCAAAAGAAAAAAAAATTCTTAGATCTTGAAACAATGTTCAGATTTTTTCAGTTTGAAATTAAGAAATTAAAATCTTAACGTTTGGAAATGTTTTTTTAAATGCAAATTAAAATATTATAAGAATTTTGTGTTTAAAACTGAGTTTAAAATGTTTTTAGGTTATTATAAATAAACATACAAAATCATAAAATTCTCAAAAGCCTTGCCAACTCCTTACACTATATTTGAGGGAACAAACTTTTATGATAAACGATTCTTATGAAATGGTTATTTTATGAAAACAATTATTTTCAATACAAAGAAAAACACTTTAAAACAGTATTCTCACTATTTTTCTGCTCAAAGAGTTTTTCTCTGAATTTTTCCTAAAGAGGATGAGTGAATAGTACATGTGAGTAGGACCAAGCGTGCTTCTGGACTGTGACCATCAGAACCCCAGCCCTTGGAAAACTAAACATGTTAGAGGACTCCCTGTCCTCTCCCCTCAGGTTCTTTGTTTGCTCTTTGTAGGAGGCTCTCTGGGCTGACAGATCACTGGCCAAAGGGAAGAACCCAATCTTCCCAGACCGCCTCACAAGTAAGCTCTCCCACTGCAGCCAAGAAGTCAGTCCCAATAAAGTAAAAATAAGATAGGGCTCTGTTGTGGAGCTCGGCAGGCACCTCAGTAGACAGACCAGGTTCACATGACCCATTAGTGACGGTGAGGGTAAGATTTCAGTCTTATGAATGTCTGTGACTCTAAGGACAAGTGCAGCCTCACTCATCCAATGACCTATTTTAGTTCAGGAGCAAGCAGTTGCAGTCAGCCTGAAACAGGCCTTCAGGGGTCTCCTGGTACACAGCCTGCTAGCCGGTCACACCATAAAGGGAGGGAATCTAGGTCAGGGTCACCACAGTTTAAGGTCATTTTTATCACTAACTAAAGGACTAAAATGTGTATAGGGAAGGTAATAATTACCTGTTCAAAAGAATGGAGTCCACTTTCTTTTCCTAACCTCACCATATCATCCAAAATGGCTTTCTTCAGCTCCTGAATTGAAGCACATAAGTGAAATGGTAAGAACACATTGCAGAATGGGGTAGAGGAAACCATGCATTTTGAGCAAAGTGTGACCTGTGTTGTATAGACATGTGCTTCCTCCCACTTAGACTGGCATTCCAGCTGCAGGCCTCTCAGGAAGCACACAATTTTTTTAAAGCATGGTGAGTGTTGCCTCCTCCAGATGAAGCTAGGGCCCAGTGAAAGAAGTGGGGTCTATGGCAGCTGCTGAGAAACAGGCCAACAGATGAAGGGCTGATGCTGAGTCAGAGAACAGAGGTCCTCCTCCTACACATGTCATAAAAAGGTTTCACAGAGGTGGGAATGGTGACTGCTCTAAGCAGGAAGAACCGTCACTGCCTCAATTCCCTTACTATCTCTGTAAACTCAGTGCACAACAAATGCACCTTCTACTCGGTGAGAGTGTGGCCAGTGAGTCAGAAAACCTGTGCTCACATTGACTCTGCTGGTAGCCAGGTGTATGGTTGTGGGCAAGTCATCTCCCCCTTGGACTACTGTCCTCCAAGCTGCAAGAAAATAAGGCTGGAAAAACTTTCTGTGATGACTCCTGGCTTGAAAATCCAATTGCTTATCAAACTTCTAAGAAGAAATATGAATTTCTTCAACAACAACAAAAAGACAAATCTCTGGTTTAGGGCTTCTACCATGTATAAAGTAATATTAGAAATTCCCTATGTCTTCAGATTTCACTGACTACAGACTTTCTGCTCTCTCATTCCATGGTATCATAAAATGCTCAGCAACTTTTGAGAACACAGCCTTGAGATACCAACCTTATTCATACAGAGCTCTGCAAATGGCCCTTCAATTCCTCTCTTCTGGGCCCAGGAGGGCATGACTTCAGGATCAGGCACTACAATGCCCACCAAAAAGGCCTGCAATGCCCACCAAAGGAAACACAGTCATGACAAAAGCTCTAAAGTGGTTAGTTGTGGTCCAGCTTTAAAAATACTCTCTTGGTATTCTCAGACTCCACCCTTTTCTAAAAATAAGCATATGCTTATGAAACATTTGTTCATATGTTACAAAACATTTCCACCAAATATATCAGACATTCTTGGCTGTTTATTTTCTGATGTATCCCCTAACTTTTTTTCTGGGGGGGGAGAAGATTTAAAGACATCAAGAATCAGTAAAATTTGATTGATAGTCACCTTTGATGTTCATGCCAGTCTTTTAGGATGGTAATCAAACAACTCTTGACCCAAATTCTATGAACCAAAACACATTTCCCAGGACTTACAAACCATCTTGAAATTCTTACATCTATATAGTACTCATTCATAAAGAACTCTGTTTTAATTTTATAGCATTTTCTTCAAAAATAATTTAGTATTTATGCATATTATATATATATACACAAAGATAGCACAGAATAGATTTAATCTTTGATATCAAAGAATATATTCGTGATCTTTCTACCTTCAGCATAAGGGATATTGACAGCCAAAGAAGTACAAATCTCCTTCAAATAATTTAATCTTAATAAGCAATATTATCATCAGTACCATTGTTTGCAATACTATACCCTCTTATCTGTAAAGCTCATTTGCACATTAAAATCAAAACTGGGGTTGGGGGTGTGGCTCAGTGGTAGAGAGTTAGCCTAGCATGTACAAGGACCTGGGTTCACAAAAGAGGGAAAAAAGAAAGGAAGGAAGGGAGGGAGGGAGGAAAGAAGGAAGGAAGGAAGAGAAAGAAATCATTAAGAGCAGAAATCCTGAAGTTTTATTTAGCATCTTACCTCAAAAATCCCTTGCAGAAGTAAAGTGGAGCAACAGGTAAATGTGGGAATTTATTACCAGTAGTAACAAAACAACTTCAAGCACCTTATTTGATCTAACTGCAATTTAGGTAATTAAGACTTCTCCCTTAGAAAGGACTTTTCTCTTTTGATTTAAAATGGATGGAAGAATCCTGGTGTCTGATTGGAGATCAATGTTTAATCTGGAGTTTTCAGCAGGTCACTAGGTGTGGGAGGTCTAAAGCATGGGGACCTCACCTTTAAGCTGTCCCCATGGACATAGATTTGTGCCACAGGTTCACTCCGGACATAGATGTTCTCAATCTTCTCCGGGGCAACATATTCTCCCTGAGCAAGTTTAAATATGTGCTTTTTCCGATCAATAATTTTAAGAGTTCCTTCCTGTGGAGTTAGACAGACAACTTCCTATGAAGATGATGCTCCCAAGCCCAAGCCCCTCACCCTCTCCACTCCAGTACTGATCCCAAGAGACTCTTGGGGTGGGGCAGTGAGTTCTGATTCCATTGGCCCCAAGGATGTTCACCTTCCCAAAATCTAGCCATTTTGAATTCCTGGGTGATTAGGGACCTTCTTCCTTTGACTCAGCCCTTTTCCTGGCCTCTACTGACAAGGCTACTGGGGTAACCACCCCTACTGCTGTCTGAGCTCCTGGTCAGACCTCTCCTTAGAGCTCCCAGACCTCACCACCCTCCAAATGCTATAGAGGGCATAGAGGCTGCCTGTCCTCCAAAATGCACCCCACCCTGAATGAGGCTCATTATTGTCTGCCCCCCACCACCAAAGTCTGTCTCAGCCAGGAGCCCCAAACCTGGCTTTGCTGTTTAACTTTCCTGGGGTCTCTAGCAGTCAGGCCATCCATTCTCACTCGCAAATCCACCTCTCACACACCTCCTCCTTCCATCAAAACTACATCCTGAGCAGACTCCTGCATACACTGTGTCCCCACTCCATCTGTTTGATCCACCAAAGCCAGAGTAATCTCTCCAGAAGAAAAAACAAGCAAGCCCTGCTCTGCTCAAAACCTAAGGGCGACATTAGGCATCTTCCCTGCACTAGCTTCTTTGGACTTCATGGAATCGCATGATCTGGGTGTTATCCCATTTCACCAATGAGGAGCAGATAGGTTAGCTAACTCTCCCAAAGCCATAGAGCTAGGAAATGGGGTAATTGGGATTTGAATCTAGGTTTCTGAAGATTATGCCCTTCCTTGATTTATCTAATACTACAAAATAATTTTTAAAAACACAAATATCTTTGGGCAGGGTGGTACTGGGGCTTGAACTCAGGGCCTTGTGTTTGCAAGGCAAGCACTCCACCACTTGAACCATAATCCTAGTCCAGAAAGCACAAGTATCTTTATAGATAATTGCTACCTAAATTTCAAGAAGAAATTGTTCAAACTTTGCACATACTCTTCCAGAAAACAGGGAAGAGAAAGCACCCACTCACCAACTCTTTCAATAAGTTAATACCAAAATATATTAGAGTTGTATATAAAAGGAAAATTGTAGATTCATCTCAATTATGACTATAAATGGAAAGGCCAAACACAATTTTTAGAAAAACGATATGAAAAAAAAATCTCATGATGGCTCAGATGAACTTTTCTGCCAGGAATACGATTTTCCTTACATGAGAAATAGAGAGAGAATAAACATTTATTCCAAAAGTTGTAATGCGATTTTAATTAAAATTCAACAGTCATTTAAAAATGAGAGTAACTTTATAAACGGACTCCATAGGCTGTCTGCCACTCTCTGTGGCTCTGTGCCCAAGCATGACACCAGCTGCTTCTCGCAATACACAGCAGAGCAGGTATTTCATTCAAGTTCAGAGCATCAGCAGTAGATTAGGGTTTTATGGACTCTGAGCTTTTGCCATTTTGAGGGCCTTCTTTAAGAAAAATAATACAAAATGAAGTGTAGGGCCTTGGAAAGAGTTGATGCAAGTGAGGGTCCCTGAAGCCCAAGCTTTCTTAGCTGATGGGACCATTGTCCCTCTGCAGGTGTCCAGGACCTGCTGGTCTCTCTGGCCTCTCTCTCTGCACTGTGAGCCTGTAGTTGGAACAGCTTGCCTTATACCCCTAGTATCTCTACTCAGCATGTGTTATGTATTTCCCTGGCCTAACTGTCCTTCCCACTCTCTCCTGTCCTCTTGGAACATGGCTTGTCCTGACACTTGGCTCTGGGATGCCTCTCCCCAGGTGGGTGTCTCCCTATCCCCCTCAGGCTCATACCCGTTACATTGGGTGAGAAATTGTCAAAAGATGCATGCCCTCCCGAGCAGAGTCCCTGACCCAGGGCACACACTGAGGACACATGTCCTTCCCTGCCACAAACATTAAGGTTTTGGGAAGGGAGGCACACAGATGTAAGCAGGGGCGAATTGGCTTGCCAGCCCACAGAGCCCCTGGGAGGGTCCTACATCATTCATGCATCTAATAACTCAATGCTTCATATCCAACCAAGACGTAGCAATGCCCTAGAGACACAGAAGAGGTTCTCTGGAGGCAGGGTCTCTCCATGGCAGCGACAGAGCCTTCTTCTGGTCAAAGCATTCATCAAGTGTCTCCTACATACGAGGCACTGTGCTAGACAGGCATAACGTCACTTATTCCTCAGGACAGTAACTGCAGAGGCAAGCCATGTGATTGTCCCCATTTTAAAAATGAGAGAATGAAGTAAATTAGTTTGGGCTAAAAGTTGGGAGCCACAGCCAAAATGCTCTGAAGGTTTTGCATCAGTGTAGAACCCAAGGGAGAGAGAGGTTTTGCTCAAGGTAACAAGGTAACAAGGGCACAGGTGAAAGTGACTGAAGCATCCTCTGCCCAGATCAAGCTCTTCCCTCTCAACTGGGGGCCAGCGTTCATGCCTGTCTCAGATTGCCCGGAGACATGGTCCTGCTTTTATTCCACTATTAGACTCCACACACTAGCAGGTCTCTTTATGGAAACCATGAAGGCTAGAGAGTTGGTCTCCCAGCTTCACCCTGTTGCACAGGCCTCATTCCCTTCATCAGGAGGAAGGCAAGAGGATGCTCTAGAGGGCCAGTCCCCAGGGGTGCTCCCGAGTGCATGCTCCTCAGGACAAATGTGGAAAAGACCCCCTCAGTGAACTATCTCATACACCTCCCCTTACCTACCTCCCAAACACTCAGCTTCTCAGCCTACTTACCGGGAGCCATTTTCCAATGTCTCCAGTGTGAAGCCAGCCGTCGCTATCCAGAGCCTCCTTTGTCCTGTCCTCATCTTTTAGGTAGCCTTTGAACACATTTGGTCCTCTCACACATATCTGAGGGGAAAAAACACCAGGGTCTCAGGCGCAGCATAAGGGTGGCTGCCAGGCACAGCCCTGAGAGGCTGTCACCATGCAAGTAGAGAATAAGGTACACTATCCATCAGGAAGCCACTGTGGATACTGTGGTGATGACAATATACACCTGGCTCTGCCTTCTGAACCCATCTTCTGCCTTCTCGGAAGCAATGTCTTCCCCTTTCCTCCCTGCCCTAGCCAGTCTTCCTCCTTTGCCATCTGTTCTTCCTCAGAAGGCCCCAGCGCTGGCCACACACTGCTTTGTGATACTCAGTGGCATCTCATTGCAGGTAGTGATGGCTTCTTGAGGCCCTGGCTTTGTTACCAGGCAGTTGGCTTCCTCACCGCTGTCAAGGGACAAGTCAGCTCAAGCCATCCTATCTGGTCTATGTGTTCATGGCCATAGTTCTTCTGGGACAGATTACACATCAGCAGGCCATGCCACAGTTAGGAAAAAAATATAGATTTTTCTTGTTGTTGTTGTTTTAAGTTTGGAAACTCAAAATTTTGATTTAAATCCATTCAGACCCAGTATTGGAGGCTGGTTGAATGAAAGAAATCAGCGACTTAAAATGACTTTCTATACAAGGTGAAGGGAAAATCACTACCCTCCCACTGTGTTGGCTCATTCTCACTCACCACGTGGAGCACCCATAGACACTAATGGCGAGATCCTTGCTTACCTCCCCCTCTCCTTTGCAGGTCCAGTAGTTCAGCTCCTCCACGTCCACAAGCTTGATATGATTGCAGGGCAGAGGAGCCCCCACGTGCCCTAAGCACCAGAGCAAGACGGCGTTTGTCAGTCTTGGAATCTGTTTTCACACTGAAGAGCTCCCTGTCCCATAAAACTCCCAAGTGGATCAAAGTAGGGAATTATGGACAAAAGGCAGCACAACTTTACACAGGCAGATGCTGATGATCAAGCAAAGTTCAATCTCTGCTGGCCTTTGTTTTATATTTGATTTTTTTGGGCAGTACTGGAGTTTGAACTCAGGGCATTATGCCTTATGCTTATATGGGGGCAGGCACTTCAGCCAAGTCCCCAGTTCTTTTTTGTTTCAGTTACTTTTCTAATAAGGCCTTGCATTTTTATCCAGGGCTGGCCTTGGGCTCAATCATCCTAACTACACCTCTCACATAGCTGGGATTACAGGCATAAACCACCAGGTCCAGTTTGTTGGATGAAACAGAGTATCATTTTTTGCCTGGGCTGGCCTCAAACCGTGGTCCTCTGGATCTTTGCCTCCCAAGTAGCTGGGGATACAGGAGTGAGCCACTGTACCTAGCTATATTTGATTCTTAAAAGAGCAAGACAGGTTCTTTGAAAAAATAAACAAGATCGATAGACCCCTGGCAAACCTGACTAAAATGAGGAGAGAAAAAACCCAAATTAGTAGAATTAGGAATGCAAAAGGGGAGATAACAACAAACACCATGGAAGTCCAGGAAATCATCAGAGACTACTTTGAGAACCTATATTCAAATAAATTTGAAAATCTAAAAGAAATGGACAGATTTCTAGATACATATGATCATCCAAAACTGAACCAAGAGGAAATTAATCACCTGAATAGACCTATAACACAAAATGAAATTGAAGCCGCAATCAAGAGTCTCCCCAAAAAGAAAAGTCCAGGACCTGATGGATTCTCTGCTGAATTCTATCAGACCTTTAAAGAAGAACTGATACCAACCCTCCTTAAACTGTTCCATGAAATAGAAAGGGAAGGAAAACTGCCAAACACATTTTATGAAGCCAGTATTACACTTATCCCAAAACCAGGCAAAGACACCTCCAAAAAGGAGAACTATAGGCCAATCTCCTTAATGAACATTGATGCAAAAATCCTCAACAAAATAATGGCAAATCAAATTCAGCAACACATCAAAAAGATTATTCACCACGACCAGGAAGGCTTCATCCCAGGGATGCAGGGGTGGTTCAACATATGAAAATCAATAAACGTAATAAACCACATTAACAGAAGCAAAGACAAAAACCACTTGATCATCTCAATAGATGCAGAAAAAGCCTTTGATAAGATCCAACATCATTTCATGATAAAAGCTCTAAGAAAACTAGGAATAGAAGGAAAGTTCCTCAACATTATAAAAGCTATATATGACAAACCTACAGCCAGCATTATACTTAACGGAGAAAAACTAAAACCATTCCCTCTAAAATCAGGAACCAGACAAGGATGCCCACTATCTCCACTCCTATTCAACATAGTACTGGAATTCCTAGCCAGAGCAATTAGGCAAGAAGAAGGAATAAAAGGAATACAAATAGGTAAAGAAACTGTCAAAATATCCCTATTTGCAGACGACATGATCCTATACCTTAAAGACCCAAAAAACTCTACTCAGAAGCTTCTAGACATCATCAATAGCTATAGCAAGGTAGCAGGATATAAAATCAACATAGAAAAATCATTAGCATTTCTATACACTAACAATGAGCAAACGGAAAAAGAATGTATGAAAACAATTCCATTTACAATAGCCTCAAAAAAATCAAATACCTAGGTGTAAACCTAACAAAAGATGTGAAAGACCTCTACAAGGAAAACTATACACTTCTGAAGAAAGAGATTGAGGAAGACTATAGAAAGTGGAGAGATCTCCCATGCTCATGGATTGGTAGAATCAACATAGTAAAAATGTCGATACTCCCAAAGTAATCTACATGTTTAATGCAATTCCCATCAAAATTCCAATGACATTCATTAAAGAGATTGAAAAATCTACTGTGAAATTTATATGGAAACACAAGAGGCCACGAATAGCCAAGGCAATACTCAGTCAAAAGAACAATGCAGGAGGTATCACAATACCTGACTTCAAACTATATTACAAAGCAATAACAATAAAAACAGCATGGTACTGGCACAAAAACAGACATGAAGACCAGTGGAACAGAACAGAGGATCCAGATATGAAGCCACACAACTATGAGCAACTTATCTTTGACAAAGGAGCTAAAAATATACGATGAGAAATAGCAGCCGCTTCAACAAAAACTGCTGGGAACACTGGTTAGCAGTCTGCAAAAAACTGAAACTAGATCCATGTATATCACCCTATACCAAGATTAACTCAAAATGGATCAAGGATCTTAATATCAGACCCCAAACTCTTAAGTTGATACAAGAAAGAGTAGGAAATACTCTGGAGTTAGTAGGTATAGGTAAGAACTTTCTCAATGAAACCCCAGCAGCACAGCAACTAAGAGATAGCATAGATAAATGGGACCTCATAAAACTAAAAAGCTTCTGTTCATCAAAAGAAATGGTCTCTAAACTGAAGAGAACACCCACAGAGTGGGAGAAAATGTTTGCCAACTATACATCAGACAAAGGACTGATAACCAGAATATACAGGAACTTAAAAAACTAAATTCTCCCAAAACTAATGAACCAATAAAGAAATGGGCATGTGAACTAAACAGAACTTTCTCAAAAGAAGAAATTCAAATGGCCAGAAAACACATGAAAAAATGCTCACCATCTCTAGCAATAAAGGAAATGCAAATTAAAACCACACTAAGATTCCACCTCACCCCTGTTAGAATAGCCATCATCAGCAACACCACCAACAACAGGTGTTGGCGAGGATGCGGGGAAAAAGGAACCCTCTTACACTGTTGGTGGGAATGTAGACTAGTACAACCACTCTGGAAAAAAATTTGGAGGCTACTTAAAAAGCTGGACATCGATCTACCATTTGATCCAGCAATACCACTCTTGGGGATATACCCAAAAGACTGTTACTCCAGAGGCACCTGCACACCCATGTTTATTGCGGCACTATTCACAATAGCCAAGTTATGGAAACAGCCAAGATGCCCCAGCACTGACGAATGGATTAAGAAAATGTGGTATCTATACACAATGGAATTTTATGCAGCCATGAAGAAGAACGAAATGTTATCATTCGCTGGTAAATGGATGGAATTGGAGAACATCATTCTGAGTGAGGTTAGCCTGGCCCAAAAGACCAAAAATCGTATGTTCTCCCTCATATGTGGACATTAGATCAAGGGCAAACACAACAAGGGGATTGGACTATGAGCACATGATAAAAGCGAGAGCACACAAGGGAGGGGTGAGGATAGGAAAGACACCTAAAAAACTAGCTAGCATTTGTTGCCCTTAATGCAGAGAAACTAAAGCAGATACCTTAAAGCAACTGAGGCCAATAGGAAAAGGGGACAGGACTAGAGAAAAGGTTAGATCAAAAAGAATTAACCTAGAAGGTAACACCCATGCACAGGAAATCAATGTGAGTCAATGCTCTGTATAGCTATCCTTATCTCAACCAGCAAAACCCCTTGTTCCTTCCTATTATTGCTTATACTCTCTCTACAACAAAATTAGAGATAAGGGAAAAATAGTTTCTGCTGGGTATTGAGGGGGGGAGCGGAAGGGGGTGGAGTGGGTGGTAAGGGAGGGGGTGGGGGCAGGGGGGAGAAATGAACCAAGCCTTGTATGCACATATGAATAATAAAAGAAAAATGAAAAAAAAAAAAAAAAAAGAGCAAGACAGGCATATCTGGCCCAGCACCAATCTGCAAGGAGCCTTGGGTGACATAGAGTCTTACACCATGGTCAGGATTTTTTACTATAGTCCCTGCATTAAGACATTTTCTGCATTGCTAACAATCTTGGTTTGGGGATCATAAAAATATAACCATCATTGATTTTCTTTTCGTCACCAGACCGTTGATTAATGTACATGGGAATGATGTAGAGATCCTGTTGGGTTGTAGGTTCTGACTCTGGGAGTGGGATGAGGCACTAGATTCTACATTCCTCATTGGTACCAGGGAAATGTTAATGCTGCTTGCTGATCTATACACTACACTCTGAGCTATGAAGGAAGAGAAAGTCAGGGTGGGGCAACTTCACCCCCCAAAATAAGACTCTACATTTTGTTGGTCTTATGTACTCCAACCACAAAATTATGTGTAAATCATTTTCTACTCATTGTGGTTATGATCTAACTCACTGGCAAGTTGAAAGACTTTTAACCAAGCACTGGCCAAAGTCCTGAAGAAGTCAGCTAAATATATGAAAAACAAGGCTATGACACTTTGGTTTTTCTTTTCAAAGAGCAGCTGCCAAATCTTTTACAATACTTACAAAGATATCAATCCTCCCATGCCCAATAGTCTTCTAAGTTTTTAGGATAAGGATGAATTAAAAATTCAACAATTTTACATGGAAAATGTAGAGAATAATATATGAGGGAAGAACGAAAGTGTCCAAAAAGAGGAGATAACTGGGAATAACTTGCCAATGTGATGGGAGCAATAAGAAAAAATTAATGTGCCAGGACCTCCAAAGATGGCTCCTGAAGGACAGGAGACAGAGTGATCAAAGAATGTGTGTACAAAACAGGCTGAAGTACAGTGAGATAGTACTCACAATGTTCCACACTTGGCTTGGCCAAAGGTGGTTTCACTTTAGACTCCACCTACCATGTTTCTACTGACTAGCTCAAGGTGCTTTAAAAATAGTTTTGCATTCATGAGCATATTTTTCTGCATGTACATGAACTCAAGTTTTCCCATGAATCATTGAGCAAACTTGCACAAAGAGTGGTCCCAGGAGCACAGAGGAAGTTGGTATCTTAAAGGATTCTTTTGCTGAGGATTTTACAGTTTGTCTCTGTTCTAAATCTAGTGAGGGATCATTTAAACCTGCATCCCCCTGCATGAAGGATGCATCTCCTCACAGTGATGGCATGGATGGGAGCTGCTGCTTTCTGAAGTTGCCACTCCTTCCTTAGATATTCATATCACAAGAGACTCCATTGTTCCCAAAGGGCCTGTAAAATGGCCCTTTAAGATAACAGTGCTCTAGCTGGGCATGCTAGTGCCTGTAATCACAGCTACTTGGGAGGTAGAGGCAAGAAGATCAAGAGTTTAAAGCCAGCCCAGGGAAAAGTTATTGAGAACCTATCTCAAAACCAAAATACAAAACAAGAAGGGTTGAGGGTGTGGTTTAAGTGGTAGCCCACCACATGTAAGGTTTAATCTCCAGTACTGCCAGAAAAAGAAAAAAAAAAAAGATCACTATGAACCTCTCTCTCTTTACAAGTCAAATCTGATTGGCAGCCTGCTTTTCTCAGTATAAAAAAAAATAGTCCTAAAACACCAGCAAGACTGTAAGCAAGACTGCAAGCAAGACTGCATGATATCCAAAATCTATAAAACTCAACAGTCTTGTACCACCTGGAGTTTTATCTTGTGATCTATTTTTTTGGTATAACTTCTATTTATCTATAAAAGGGATAGGAAAATACAAAAATATAGGAAAGAACAAAATTTGTAACAAATTACAACCCCGGCCAAACAAGTAGATCATTGCTATAATCCCAGCTACTTGGGAGGCAGAGATCAGAAGGATCAAGATTCAAGGCCAACCTTGGCAAAAAATGAGTGCAACCTAAGCTCAATAAAAAAGCTGGGCATGGTGGCTGATATCTGCAATCCCTACATGGGAAGTGTAAGTAGAAGGACCGTGGTCTAGTGGGCCTGGGCAAATAAACATGAGACCCTACCTGAGGAATAACAAAAGCAGAATGGTCTGGGGATGTGGCTAAATTCATAGAGTGCTGCCTAGCCAGTGTGAAGCCCTGAGTTCAACCATCAATACTGCTAAAGTAGTACAACCCAGACATAACCACCATTAATGGTTTTCTTCTGTTTCTTTTGCTTTTTGTTCAAGTGCCCATGTGAATTCGTTTTCCAGGTGGGAGTTTCAGAGCCAGCTATTCTGACTTAGAGTGGCTTATGAGCCATTCCCATACCTGCGGCCCATCCTACCTGAGGTCCAGTCCCCAGGCGTCGTGAAGGTACATCCAGCTGTGCACTCGGTTTGGCCATAACCTTCATACACCTTCAAGCAAAACACAAAGACCATACTGTGGGTGCTTATGCTCCCAGAGCTGACTGGCTGTCCCTTTCAGCTAACTTCCCCTTGACCATCTGGTGGGTGAGGCGCTCTAGAGGTAGCTAACTGCAGGTGACATAGCCACAGTTGCTAGAAAGAAGTGCTGTTCTTGACACAGACAGTTAGTAGATAAGGTTATGTAGTTTGGGATAAAGATTTCTGACCTATTTTTTAACCACTGGCTCTAGTTTTCATTTGAATAATATGTATGAAAGACAAGCATTTTTTAAAGATGGGACATTGTGGTACATGACTGTAATCTCAGCACTTGGAAGGCTGAGGAGGGAAGGATCAAGAGTTGAGGCCAGTCTGAACTAAATAGTTGAGACCCTGTCTCAAAAAACCAAGGACTGGGGATGTCACTCAGTGGTAATGTGCTTGTCTGGCATATGCAAGGCCTTGGGTCTGAAAAAAATAGATAAGCATTTCAAAACCTGCTCTGTATTTACTTTTGTCTTTGTAAGATGTTCCCCTCCACAGCCCCTCTTGTTTGCATGAATACCCATATGTGAGAGTGTCTTCATTCAGAACTGATCAGGCTGGTCAGTGTGTAACAGAGGATAGTAAAGATGCTCATGACTTCTAAACCCTGAATAACTGTGAAATAGACATGTTTGCCACACCATACCACATATCCTGCCTATGCAGGAACTTAATCCATATTAATCAGATAGATAAGCAAAGGAATGAATTTTTTAGAGATAACAAAACCTGCTGAATCAAATAACCATCCACAAATAGGCTCTCCCTTCCCCCTGTGCTCCTTTTCTGATTTGGAGGGTTTTGCAGGCTGGAGAATGCAGAGATACAGGGCAGAGGTGGTACAGGTCCTCCAGCACATGGAGGGTATATAGAGTTTATGTGATTCCTTTGCCCTGTGCTAAAAACTTTCAAGGGCCTAGGTAAAGGAAATCCCAGAGTCAATACACCTGGGCTTCCCAGAATGTAGCAAGGCCATCCTGGCTTTCAATGGCTCTGGATTCTTTTCATCCTTGGAAGGAGATTTTATTCCCCAGGATCTTTCTCTGTACAGGAGAGGGTATAGTATAGTATTTCTCCTACCTAACATACATCCCATTGCCCCCAAGGAAGGCCATGCATGACAATACCTGGCATCCCAGAGCTGCCCTGAGGAATCCCAGGACTGTTGGTGATGCAGGGGCCGCTCCAGTAACAATCATCCGCACTCGCCCTCCAAGACTGCCCTGTGGGAGAGAGAAGAATCTGACAAGGCTTGTGATGCCTGAGATGGTCCTCACCCAAAGTCAACATTCAACATTCACACCCTACCTTGACGCTAGGGCTAAGATCAGAGAGAAGGCCATCTTCCAAATGGCAAACTGTGTCAGCCTCCTCTCTTGTGCCTTTTGAGATCAGTGCCATTAGTCTGTATGGTATTCTATAATTATGGTTCTCCCTCCCTAAACTATACAGCTGCTCCCTCCCATCATTCACAACCATCCAAAAACAATTACTTAGGGCAATTTCATCCAACTTCCATTTTAATGGCATTGCCTTTTTTTCATGTAGAAATCAATACCATGCTTTATTTGCTAGCCACTGCAGAGGACAAAGGATACTTGAAACACTTTGTTTCTGTAAGCTGAGCCAAGGGTCTTTAAATATTAATTTTCACAGCTAAAAACAGAGTAGCAAGAAAATTAGTAATGCTACTAATTAATTCCAGATTCCTTGGGCAATGAAGGAATCTTGAAGACTTTTGTGGAGATACAGAAATGAGTAATTCCACTTTGGCTTGCTGTGGGAGAGGCAGAAGGGACAGGAAAAAAGAAACGAAAAGAATATTCCTGGCCATCGGGTTAGAACCTACTGCTCTGGGAAAGCCACTGTTACAGGAAAGACAAGACGATCTTCAGAACCCAGGAGCATCTCAGGGAAGCACTGACCCAACCACCCAAGGGCAAAGCTACCCTGGTGCCTGTGGAGGTCAAGGGACCTACTTTCCAGGGGTCCTTCTAGCTAGCTGCATTTTGGCAAATATAGCACACATCCAAAACTTAAAAAATTTCAGTGGTAGATTAAACTTTGATTTACTGAGCAAATGAATAATGAGTTCACAAGATATCAGGCCACTGGGATGAACTTTATTTCCCCCAGAGGGCACCTGCGGGACACAGGTGTCACCCTGTCAGCACTTGCTCACTTTCTTACCTGAATCTTATTAAAGAAGAGTTCATCCCAGATACTGTTATTCCTGATGATTCCACTCCGGACCTCAGCTTGCTTGCGCTTTGCTGCAAATTCCAGGAGCCAGCGCTTTATTGGAGTGTCTGCCTGGCAGAAGATCTGAGGAACACAAGTTTGAAACAGCTGTTAGGGCCTCAATGTCTCACTTCTAGACATAGTCTCCAAGGAGAAGGCCCAGAAGAGGAAGGGAAGCCATGCTCCATTGTACCCATGGAAGAGTGATATCAGGTTGAACTTTAACACACTGGGGCAAAGTCCAGGCACATTGCAGAGATGGAAGTTCCTTATAAAAAAAAAAAAAAAAAGTCTCCCAACCAGGGTTTTGGAGAATATGAAGAAAACAGGAGAAAAGAGTGAGAATCAGAGAATACAAGAGAAGAGGCAACTTTCTGGACCTGAGCTGGAGGCATGGAAAGCCCACTTGGGGCTCCAGATTCTGTCCAAATAAGCAAGTATACAGCCCTCAGCCTAGTCAGAGACCCACCCCTGAGGTAGGGGGTAGGAGCTCACCTTATCATACATCCGGTTCAGCAGTCTTGGGACCACGGGGAAGATGGTAGGTCGCAGAGCCTTCATGTCATCTGAGAGGAGGCGGATGTCCCCCTGGAAGAAGCCAACTCGCCCTCCATGGCAGTAGACAACAGACTGGAGGGAGAGGACAGGAAGGTAGGAATTCCTTAGGCTGGTTACTCCTGACTGCAGTCCAGAGCTGTCCAAAGTTCTGCCTTCCATAACCCTCAACCCAGCTATGGCTGCTGCACAAAGACATGAAGAATGCGGAGTGACCTCCCCACAAACCTTTGTACTAAGTCCCACTCAGGCAAAGGAAGGAGAAGCAGGAGACAGAGTGGAGTTCTGAGCTTTTGGGAGATGCCTAAGTACGCATTCTCACTGGTGCTTAACCCTCATACCCCACTCCCAAACTGGACTTGGGCCTCCTTGGGAACTCAGGTCTCTGCAATGTATTTTACTCGGGTCTGTCCAGGTCCTAGATAGTCTGTGGGACATCTCTGCAACTATGGAAGGATGGGCTGTCCCCATGGGCACTGGAATTATTGCTGAAGCTGGCTGTGGGTGGTGACTCATAGGAGACCAAAGGGGAGTCGGGGGCTGGTGGAGTGGCTCAAGTGGTAGAGTGCCTGCCTAGCAAGCATGAAGCCCTGAGGTCAAACCCCAGTACCACCAAAAAAAAAAGGGGGACTCAGGTGGATTCCTATAGGACTAGAAGCACACCAGGGGCCTTATATGTGCTTCTTTCTTTAACCCTCATAGCAACCCTATTAGGAAGGTAGTATTCCTAACATCCCTTTACAGGTGAGGGTTGCAAAACTCAAGAGAGGTAAAATGACTTGCCAAGAGTCACAAAACTAGTTGAGAGTAACTGCTGGCATTCTAATCCAGGCCTGGAAAGCATGCCCTGTTATACCACATCTCCCCTAAGGAAAAATGGGAAAGGCTTAAAAGATGCAGTTTATTCACAGTTTGGTTTCTCAAATGACACACACATGGAGAATTTTTTGTCCCTAGATAGGATTCCTCCCTTCACTCTCTCTTTACTCCCACAAGGCCTGTCTCAGGGCCAATTTAATATCAGTCCCCATTGGCAGTCTGTAGAGTCATGATGCTACAGCCTTATTCTCTCTTTTAGGAATTTGTAAGTTATGAGAATCATACTACAGAAGCCCAACACTAAAACACTTCTGCCAAGTTGCAATACTCTTAAAGCAAGTGATACCAGCTGGGGTCTCACCCAGTTGAGCAAGACAGGGCTGGCCTGGGGTCTTCCCTAGAGCAATGCTCCCAGGAGGGCCAGGTGGAATGGCCAGGTCCTTCTGAGGACACCTTTTGAGGACAGGGCATTTTGGCTCTACTTCATACCACCAGTGATGAGAGACACTGCTAGGTTGCTAGGGCTGTGGATTTTAGGCACCGAATGTGCCTCCCTGATGCCAGGGCCTTACCTGCACCATTCGCTCAAACATGTGTGCTAAAGGCAAATAGGAAAAGTGCACATCCGCACAAGCGGGAGCCCACTGACTCTGCAAGAAAACACAAGGAGCCCAGGCAAGTCCCAGTCAGCCAGGTGGGCGGCTTACCTGGATCACTCTCTCAAACATGTGAGCCAAAGGCAGGAAGGAGACGAGCACATCGTCCTGTCTCGGAAAGATCACTTTCTGCAGGTGATGGGCATGGGAGACAGAAAGGAAAGAAACACTGACAGGAAGACACCGAGAGAGTCATAAAACAATAAAGAGAAAATGGTCTTGGAGGGGTGAACAGGAAGAGGGGGGAGGGAAACGAAGGGCTGGGACAGAGAGAGAGGTGAGATGAGAGAAAAAAATGAGAGCAAGAGAGAGGGAGAGGGAGGAAAGGTGCAGGAAGAAGGTGGGCAGCATAGGAAGCGGAGTGTTAGGTCGCAGCGCCAGTGGGTCTGGGTTATCTGCAGAAGCAAAGAGCCACATGAAGCACACATAAACCAGCAGAGCCAGGCTCCGCAGGGAAGTCTCTCGGCAGGGCCTGCACCTGGCTTGCAGTCATTCGGCACCAGCCTGGCTCTCTCCCCTTCCTCCCCACGTTAGTAGGTTGGATCGGCCCTAGGCTTCCTGGGCCACTTGGGTAGAGATTCAGAGTGTTTTGGTTGATCGGCACTTTCTAATCCTTCCAGAAAAAGAGGTCCAGAGAACCCTACATCTATGCCAACTGTGGCTGTGTTAGGAGCTGGGGACAGAGGAAGAGACAAGGCCAAGTCCCAAATAGGTGGCTGAACCTAACCTGACAAGCCACAGCCCTGGATCAGGGTCTTAAGGGGAAAGCTGAGAAGTAGCCCAGCTGAAGAGCCAGTATAGGTCGAGTGTCAGCCCACATCTCGTGGATGGGATGGACCCTTAGGACCCAGGCTGCTCAGGTCAGGCAGAGGCCTGTACAAGGAGGCTCAGTTTTGTGCCACCTGCCTGAGCTCTACCTTGTCATAGAGGCTTTTACTCTCCTGGTGGCCTTTTGGACCAGTTTGGACAAACCTTGGGAACCTGGCTCATGGCTCCTAACCTGGATTCAGCCACCAATACAGTTTTCTACCAAAGTAAAAGTGTTTAGAGCATATACTCCATAATGCCATGAAGCATGTGTGTGGAGAGACAGTCTCCATGTGAAGGAAAAGCCTGACTTTGATGAAAATGTACATTTTTTTCTCCTGAAGGAAACTGCAGAATATACTCACCACTTCTGGAGAGGTCCTCTTTTCTTATGTGGGTATAAACACTAACATGCTTTGTCAGGCCAAGAGGTCAACCTTTTTGACTCTAGATTTACCTTTAAGCACACTCTATTAGTCCTTAAACACAAAATGACTGAATTAAACCCTAGCCTATTTAAAGAACAAGTTACCAAGGATTACCTTAGAAATAAAGGTGCATACACAAAAGCAAAAGGATCTCAATTTTTGAAGTTAAAAATGAAAAACAGATTCCCATGCTTTTCTTTCTGGGGTCCTAGTACTCTCAGAAATCAACTGAATGTTGTTGGGTATGAGAGTCATTTCAGTGTTTGGGGTTAAAAGCTGCGTGTGGTGGCACATGCTCTCATTTCAGCCCTTGGGAGGCTAAGGCAAGAGGATCATGAGTTCAAGACCAGCCTGGACTACAAATCAAGACTCTGTGTCAATTAAAAACAAAACTAAATCACAGTGTTTGAAGTTAGAAGTGGCTGTAAAGGTAGGGTTGTTCTATTGAGAGAAACTCCTGCCTGTGAATGGTAGCCCAGATTATATCAGGAAAAAAACAAAACAAAAGGAACAAATTTTTAAGATCCCTCTGAGGCCAGAGATTGTCCTCAAGAGATACCTGCATAGTAAGTTTACTTTATTCACCTCTGTCACTTTCAGAAAGCCTGAGAAATCAGCCACCACGTTCCCATGGGTGAGCATCGCACCTTTGGGGTTCCCTGAAAACAGAAGGCAAGAAGGGGAATTAGTTGGGAGCCCAGTGGCAACTCCCTGAGAACAGTGCCCAAGCCAGCAATGCCTGGCTGTTCCCTCAAGCCTCTGGCCTCTGGCTCAGCCATCCTTGAGATCCAGGCAGATGAATACTGCTTGTGGGACCTTCACTCTTTAGACCCTCTGCACCTACCTTGAGGCTCTTTACAGCTTGGGACCAAAAGGCAGGTGACATGGCTGCACAGATGGATGTCTCAGATCTGAAGAGTATACTACTTGGGGCACTTTACCCTCTCTTGCCTCCCTCAGGGAACACAGGCTTAGGCCTCCAGTTCCCTCACACACATCCACTGGTCTATCCTGCTCTCTTGACCTCAGCAGGGCTATCTGCTAGCAGAAAATTTACTGGCTGTATCTGGTGACTGGAAAGACTTCAGGCTTAGGGCAGGCTGGAGGTCAGCAGGATTGGGGCTCCCCTCTTGCCTGCTCAGCTGCAGAGATGGGACAAGGATATTCTTGTTTTGTCTTAGCATGATTTTTCACTGCTGCTCATTAGGCCTAGTGTTCGGGTCCCTTGAGGAATCTGGGGTTGCTAGGATGACTCAGAGGATAGAGGCAGGTGAGGCCCAGGACACAGCAGGCTGGGGAGAAGACCAAACTGACCACCATTTCACACCAGGGTGGACACAACCCTGATGGTGCTGCTACAGGTCTGACAGGACTCAAAACCTAGCTGTGCCACTCACAGCTAGCAGGACATCAGTAAGCCATTGCTCCTCTTGAGAGAAACCACCTCTCAAGGAAACCTCCTCTTGAGGTTTCCTTACCTGTAAAACAGGGACAATAATGCCCACCTCATAAAGGTATTATAAGGACTATAAATATAATCCCTGTACAAAAGATGTTAAATTAAATGTTTCCACTAAGGCAGTAGATACAGTTGCTGTGAAACTCCAAAAGGGAGGGGGCAGAACACATGCAGAACTTACCCAGAAAATATCAAAACAATCAATATGTTAACTTTGCAACCCTTACCCAAAAGGAGGTAATAAAAGGGTCAAGTGAGTAGAAACTAAGAGAGTGTTGTACTAAGCGCCACTGAACTTGTTCACATTACACTGGTTAATTTGATGCTACGTGAATTTTCCCTCAGCGTGTGGGGAGGACTTAGAAAATCTGTGCAGAGGTCCTTTGGAGGGAGCTACACGTCATACATAGCCCATGAAAAGTGGAAGAATGAAGAGTCCTCTCTCCCAATCCCACACTGAAACCCAAGACCCTAATAGGAACACCTGAAGAGCCCAAATGTGCTCCCTAAAGCTGGAGGACCCAGTGAAAAAGGTGAAGAAGTCAGTGGTTACAAAAAGTAATGAATCCAAGAACTGGACACAGTCTACGAAAGGAATATCAGTCTGAGGGGTGAGAGGGACAGTGGCAAGGATGGTATATTAGAAGGCATCTGTCAGAAGGTCAGTCTTCCAAGGAAAAAGGATCCCCTCCCAACAGGGGAGGCAGTAAAGTGCACACAGAGGCCAGAACTGAGGTAGAGACAGCACCACCCAGCCCAAGATGAGCGCTATCTATGTCAGGGGAACTCTATGTCAAGAGAACTCAGGAAGTGTTAATCAAACACAGGGTGAGTTTTAAACACTAGCCCAAATAATTTTCCTACTTTTATACCCACTTACTTATTTTCCATCCCCACTTCAAACCCAGTGGGAGAGGAAAGAATCCACCCCCAGTAGGCTGGGGACAAAGGAGAAACAGCAGCAAGGAAAACAAAAGTTCTCTCTGCTGGGGAGGAGGAGGTCTCAATGAAGACTACAGATTCCTAGTTTGGATTGACACTTGTGATTCTGAGTTAAGACTGTGACTTGCAGTGGCCATGGGACTTTTTATTACATAAAAGTGACCAGAAAGGCCTATGATGTTTGAAGTTTTTATCCAGGAGCAGAGAAAGAACCTGCCCTCACTGAGCAAGTGGAGAGCAATGGATGGAGACAAAAATAAAGTCACTCTCATAATTACATCCATGAGACCTGCTTGCTCAACTTGTTGGTGACCCGTTTGGCAGAGATCAGAGCATTAGTTACAATCCCATCTTTGAATTCAGGAGACAGACACATCACTCTACCGAAGATGTGTGGTGGGCAGAATTTTAACCTGTGCTCTGGTACCTTCACTCATATGGTCACCCACGTTGATGACTTTGGGGACACAGGTTACATGATTTAAATAAAAAGTGACATATTTCTAATAAGTAGCTGTTCCTTTTGAAAGGAACAGCTTCCTTTCGAAAAGAAAAAATAAAAAAGCACAGAATCTGTCTTAACTCTGCCTGTCTTTCTTTCATCCCAATATTCTTCCTCAAGCCCAGCCCATATTAAGAGACTTAAGCCTGAGTCATCACTTAGATACAAATCCTACAGAATCCCAGGGCCCACAAAGTATTCTGAGTGTTACTTGGTAATTTTCAGCTGAGAATGCTCAGGTTCTTCAAATTTTTAAAGAACATTCCCCCAGATAATAAATATGGAGTCAGGGCTATCACAAAACAGAGCCTGTGCTATAGTTTTAGATCTGTGAGACTGGCTTGGCTGACTTTCTCACACCTAACATAACCTCATGGTAGAAGGTCTGATCATTTTGAGAGAAATTTGTCTTCAGTGATGAAAAACCTCCAAAGCCTCCATTCAGTTCAGGCCAAAACACTTACAATGGTAGTATTCAATCCTGCTTAGTTTGGTTAGGACTTTTTCTTTTCCAGCATGGTGCAAAAAGTTTGTATCTTTTAGAAAAGCATGTTTTCTTGCAGGTATCAATGTAATTTTATAAACTTCTAATGACCTATAGAATTTGTAAAGATTCCCTGAAACATTCAGATTATTTCTTCAAGTCATCTCTAGATGTGGTCCCCATGGATGAAGGAGAAGTGAAGGTAGACCACAAATTCTGGGAACAGACTACAAGGTCCAGTTAGGAGGTAGAAGATGAGCTTGTGAACAGGCTCTGCTTGCTTCTCTGACTCAGGGCTGTGTATGCCTCTGGCAGCATTTCTTTTAGACCTGATGTAGACAGTTTTCCTAGTTGCTCACATGGAGAAATATCATAAGCCTTCCTAGACAGACCTATGTGCAATCAAGTATGATGAACTGAGCTGCAGAGTCTCCTTTGGTCCTCTTTTTCTGGTGCAATGTCAGAAAAGGTCTGTCACCTAGCTCCCCAATGTCTCAGCAGTATGAGACCTGCTGTCCATTTCCCTCCTTCTGCCCATAAGCAGACATCTTCTCACTAAATGCCTCCATTTAACACCCAAGAAAACTGAGGCTTAAGAGTGCTTACATAATTTTACAGCTGCACAGCAAGAATGCTGAGAGGTACAGAGAGCATCAGCAGGTGTTTCTGTGGTGACATCCCCTGGGTACAATTTAGCCACAGACAGTGCCGACAGGTTTCTGTTCTCTGTCCTCTTGGCTGTTCCTGCTCAGGCTCATTGGGAACACCTATGCTATCATTCCTCTTGTGCAGTGCTCCCAGGCCTTGCTCCCAGTCCATTCTTTTCCTCACTTGACCTTCCTTCAAATCAGTATTCTCTGTCTTGCTACAGATCCTCTGTGCATGCTGTTCCTTTTGCTGGGAACACCTTTTCCTCTCTTCTCGTCCAGCTATCGATGCTTCAAGAGTCTGCTTAGATTTACTTCCTTTGGGAATCCTTTGTGTTCTGTTGTCTTGACCTCTTGTTGGCAGGATACTTGGGATGCAGTATGCAGCTTGGGATGCAGACTCTTGAGGCAGTGATCAAATTGTAACTGGCTGATAACTGAGCTGTGAGATCATGACTACAAGGCTGTGCGCTGTCCAGCACTGTGTCCTCAGCACTTAATGGTAGGTCTGATACACAGAGGTTCTCAAAAAAGAAACTGAATGAATGAACATACATAAACTAGAAAAAGAGTGTCAAAGACATATAGAGTGAAAAGATTGTTTCACAAGACCACTGTATTTTCTTCTCCGGAAAGTGAAGGTACCTGAACTCATAAAGACACAGACTCCTAACTATCTTTCAAGGAAGCCAACTTCCCCAAATAGGTTGTATTATACACACAAATTATCTTTTTTTTAGGGGAGATTCAGTTTCCAGTCCAGTTAATAGTTGCTTGGAAATGACCAACCAATCACTCACCCACCCATCAGCCATTACTGGGTACAAAACACAATCTCTCCTCTTCCTGGACCTTCCTAGCCTGGTGAGGGGCTCTGGAGCATTGGCATTTTCTAGGAGTTTTCCTCAGAGTTTCTACCACATACTAGAAGGAAATCATCCTGGAATGATTCTGCCAGAACCTGGACCAAATGTCAGGTTCAGATCATATTTTCCATCTCTCCTGACTGAAGAACATTGTGGTCCTTGATGAGGCTGAGAGCCAGGATGCTCAGCATGCAAGGGAAGCTGTAGCTGGACTGTGATGCTGTGGACACATGTAGCTGATGTGCTGACAAAAGAATAAAAGAGCACAGCATAGGCTTAGCCTAAAGCCAAGAAAATCCAAGTGCATGACCCAGAGAGATGATATCAGGCCAAAGATCTGCTGGCTGCCCCAGCTCTGCCCTGGCACCAGCCACAGCTTTGGAGCAGGAAGCTTGTGACACTAAATCACAACCTATTTTTCAGGCTGTCTGCATTCTATTTCACCACACAGAGCTTGGGTAGGATGGCTCAGCTTTCAATTGGAAATCCAGTCTGAAAGGCACTGGACATGATGTCTGGCTCTCTCCAGCTGGGCCACATCACATGTCTGCCTCAGGAAGTCCTTTGCCAGATATGGGGGCATCTTCTGTGACCAAGTGACATGTTAAAAGCCTGAAGGCACTCTTGGAAGGCAGAGGTTCAAAGCTAAAGGCCAAAGCAGTGACCTGCTCTCCAAAACCATGTCACCAAAAATTTATATTGTAAAACTCATGACAAAAAAGACATTGTAAAGCTCTATTTAAAAAGCAACATAAGCTTGAAGAGCATTTTTGAATTTGAGTTGGCTCTGGATGTCAGTCCCTGGAAAGTAAGGGCTGTATTACTTCTTTTCAAAAAGGGTTTAGTAGAATATGGTAAAAATCTTTAAACCCACTTGAATTAATGGCAAAAATCTGTCTCCATTCAATAAAGCCGTGTTTCTCATGATCCACTGACATAACTAATCCAGCTTATGGGGCTGGTCAAAGGTCTGCCAAATACCTTACAGCTGCTTCTGTGGGAGATGTAGAGACCCCAGTCCACTGTCTATTGACAGTGGCCAGTGTTTGGTCTGAAAGAAGGCTAGAAACCTCTTGCCCATTCAGGACAAAGCAAGTGACTTCCCAAGTCATCAGATGGAGTGACAGCAGTAGCAAGAGAACTGGGCAAGGAGTTTGGGGATGAAGATACAAGTGCTGACACCTCCACTTGCTGATATTGTTCCCTTGGAGCCAGCTCAGTGTTGAGCTGCTCACCTCACTGACTAAGCTAAGGCCCCAGTGCACAATGACAGGGTGGACAGGACACTAGACTGTAAAGTGCTGAGCCTGTGCCTAATGTGCATTCTGCCTCCCCCAGGACACCCTGCTGGACTCTTCCTGTCACGCTGATGTATGTGCTGCTTGGTTTGTGCCAGGCATGGGCCGAGCCATTTCTGCAGTGTCCTCTTCCTGACAGTCTTGCCCTTGGCTGCAGAGTGTTTGTACTGCCCATTCATATACCATCCCATCTCCTACTTGGCCCCTAACCACCTTCCTCAAGGTGAGAAACTGGGGACAGGGATGGCAGAGAACTTAAGTGACTGGTTCATAGCACTCTAGCAAGTAGCAGAGATGAGACTCAAACTTTTTCTTTCAGACACCAAGCCCATATTCCTTCCCAGTCCCTGACATGAAGGCCAGACAAGAGCAGGAAGCAGGGAGGTGAATTGTTTCCCATAAAGAAATGACTGTCATAAGAAAATTCCTTCCTTTAGTATGTGACCCAGCTGCCCACCTAGGGCTCTGCTGGCTCAGCTCTGGAAAGCACAAGGCCCTGCCTATACTTCCCAATCCACACTGTCCATCTGCATCTGGCCACTCCCCATCCTGTCTGGTGCTATGTACTGGCAGTAGAGGGACCAGCATCTGGAGCCAGGCCCAGGACAAGGCTTAGCCCATCTCACAGAGAGTCCCAGAGACTTCCAAAGTCACCTGCCAGGCTGCCAGGGAAGGGTACAGGTAGCCAGGTGATCTGAGTGCCTCTGCTTACCTGTGGTGCCGCTGGTGAAACACACAATAGAGAGATCATCAGGCTGAGGGGGCTGGAGGGTTAAGAGAAAAGGCATGGTTAGGGAGACCCTGTGTGATTAGCCAGGGCCCCACCACTGCCCAGCCCCATACGTGCTGTAGTGGTGATGTGGCTGTGGGCAGTGCTGGCTATGTTTGCAGGCCCCATGCACTGCAGGTGGGCTGACAAGCTCCCAGGAAAAGGGAAAGAAGCTGAGTTCGTGGACATGGATTGGTCCCACCAACCTTACCCTGATCCCAGCACTCCTCTTTCCTCCAGTCTGAGCTGAATTTTCCTAGGTGGGGTTGGATTACAGAGGCCACATTCAGACCTCAACCAAAGACCTCACCTTTCTAGTGGGTATGGCCAAGTCCCCACATTCCTTCCCATTTTCTCCCAAATGTCTGTGGTTAGTCTTGGGAGCATGTGTGGCTCAGGAGTTGAGCTGCCCGTTGCATCCTCAAGACTGCTCTGCATTAAGCCCTTGTCCTGACACTGGGCATATGGCCTTCGAGTCACTAGGAAGAACTCACTGAGTCCATCTGCACATAGAAGATGGCTTTCCAGAGGTGGTAACATGTGAGTTGAAATGGAAGGGTGAGCAGGATTTTTCCAGAAGAAGTGTGTGTTAAGGGGGGGCGTTCCTTGGAGGGGTCCTGGGAGGAACTTGCATGGGCCCAAGCACAGAGGCACAGGAGATAGGGCATGCTGAGAGATCAGGGAGCAGCTCTCTATGACTAGAGCCTGGTACATGTGAGGTAGACAAACACCTAGGACTACCTCAGGAGGCCCTGCAAAGCAGGGCTATGATTTGTTTAGACCTGTGTGAGAAAGTTCAGAAGGAGTGGTGAAGGGAGTGAAAAAGATTGAGCTACAAGAATGCCTAGAGGTCAGAGGCCCTGAAAGAACCCCCAAACGACCCCCATGGCCTAGCCCATGGGGCAGCTACCTTCACTGTGACCCAACCCCAAACAGTCATACGGTGATGACACACAGGAAAGTTCACAGAGAAAAGATGAATAAAGACAGCAGATGCCATAAGACCACTAGACCCAGTGGTCCACTTCTGGTTCTGTTCATCCCATCCCCTAGGGAGTTCACTACATTTGAAGGAAAAAAATAAGACTTCCTCAAGAAAGTTACTAGACAATCAAAGGTAGCCAAGACTGACTGCCATCTGTCTCCTTCTCAACCTCTGACTCTTGTCTCAGGTCCTTTCCTGGGCCATCAGCCCATAAAAAAGTCCTGGGCAGCAGAGCAGGCATTCTTGAGTTGAGCACAGGGTTGCTTATTAACATGGAGATGTTTGTCTGGCCTCTCTCCTGAGCCCTGTGTACAGTGAAGGGCTCTGCGAGGACAGTCCCTACCTATCATCTTGTTCAACAAAGACCTGCTAGAAGATCAGCTTACCACAGGAGCATGGTGATTTTCTTGGCCACAGTCCTGAAAGAAGAAAATACTGCTTTAAAATCCTCAAAGTTTTCATCAATTAAAAAAAAAAAATTAACAGTCCAGTCCAGTAGGCCTTGCTCTTGTGCCAACGCCAGATTTCGGGATCCCCTGCTCAGACATAGTAGTTGTGGCAGATGCTACCTCAGTGGCATCTCCTCAGACATATGTCTAGTCTGAGGTCCCTGAAAGAGAGGGAGGACGTCTACAGGTCCTGAGTCCATCCTGTACATTATAGGCAGGGAGCCCAAGGCCCAGTGAGAGGCCAGGCACTGTGCACATGACAATGAGTTTTGGATATGTTGGGCTTAAGGTGTGCCCATGGTACCTCTGAGAACATGCATGAAAGTGGTTGGGTGACCTAGGCTTCTTACATGAGCATTCAATGCTGGGGGCTGCCAGTGCAGGTGGGGTTGATAAGTTGCTGAAATGTACAAGTGCACAGGTATTATAGGTACAATGAGAAGAAGATAGGGAAGCAGGAGAACTGAAGGCCCCAGGGGCTGAGCTCCAATAGAGCATAGTGTGAGTCAGTTGCTACTGAGCAGGGCCTGAGGCCCTGAAGGCCAGAATGCCCGGCATTGCCTCAGCAGGCCATGAGCTTCCAGAAACCTGGTGTCTCTGGGAAGGCCAGGAACAGCAAAAAATCAGTTCTGCTGGCTACTGGGTGTCTGGATCCCATCGGTAGGAACCTTTCCAAGACTCCTGGACCTCATATCTACCGCCTTTGGCTACACACAAGGGCTGACACTAGCTGGAAGTAAGGAGACTCCAGCAGCTGTGTGAGTGCCTCCCAGGCAAGCACACTATCTACTTGCTGGCACCTAGTGCCATTGGCTATATGCCAGTCAGAGCCTTTGCCTAAAGGATGCCTAGGGACATCAACTGCAGGCCTCCTTCCACCAGCTCTTTCAAAGCATACCTTGTCTTAGCACTCATACATTCCCAAGCACATAAAATGGTCACTTCTGAGGCATGAGAGGGGCAGGTCACCAGCAGTTCTGATTCAGCAGCCAGCCAGCTATGGATCAGCAAACAACCCAGAAACAGATTCTCACCTCCACAGCCTGCATGGACTTGATGACCACCCCGCACTTCTGCCCCCTCTCAGTTAGGGCTTCCTCGAATGGCTCCATGAGGATGATCAGCTTGAGCCCTGGAGTCTCCTTCTTCTCCACATGCTCTAGCAGAAGCATGGCCTTCTGTGGCTTGTCCACAATCACGGTGCTAATGTCCGCTGCAGGGACCACCAAGGAGAGTGAGGCTGTGTGGACACAGGCTGGGACTGCAAACAGCACATGCCAGGCAGCGATAGCACAGCTGTGTGTGCCATAGCTTGTACGTAAATAAAATGTGTGAGACAAGCTGTGGGGACCATGCATCGTATACACAGGAATGTATCGTGGGTCCTGGGTGAACCAAGGCCCTCCTGGAGCAGATGACTAATTTACTTCATACTCGGCCCCTATCATCCCAGGTCTGCCTGGGATATTTACCCCCAGCAATGATACCCAGCTGTCATGAACTTTGGAGGGTTGCAGCCTGTTGGAGGCTGGTACAGAGTCTCTTCCTTGATACCCCAGTCCTGTGGACAGAATCTTCAGGTGAAGTCTGACTGGAGATATCTGAGACTCAGTACAAGCCCAAGTGTTTTCTGAGAGCAGAAGCAAAGTGCTTCTTATGGATCTCAGGATAAACTGAGAGGCTAGGGGCTGGAGATAGGCTGCCAATGGCAAGAGGGATGGTGGTGGGGCTTACCTGTATTGATGATGTAATGGATAGCCCCAGGGCCCAGAGTGTCATACAGTGGTACCACCACCATGGAATACGTGTAGCAGGCCAGCTCTGCAATGATCCACTGTGGAAACACAAGGTCTAGGTCAGGGGAAAAACAGACAAGAGGACTGACTGTACTGCCCTTAGGCCCAGGAGAACAGTGACCCTGTGCGAGGCCCTATGCCCGATTCTCTGCATTCCACAAGGAATCCACAAGGCTAATGGGTTGTCCCTGTTCACCCATAGCCTTCGAGATCTGGTTTGCACCATGGAACTCTGTAACTCCTGGTTTCATGCCCAAACAGTCCCAGGCCCTGAGTGGACTTCTTCACCATGAATCTCCTTCCCCTTGGCCTCTAGGACATCTGTTTATGGAGCAGAGTGTGGTATGGATTGATCTTGTCTAGGGTGCCCTTTCCTGATGTGGGGCAGAACTGAGTGGGGGTGTCCTGGCCCTTGGGTCTCCAGTTTTTCTCTTGTCTCAGGTCCTACAAAGAGCAGTAGCAGGATCATTCCATGCACCCAACCCCTACTCCACTGATATCTCTAAAACCAGTCAGAGTCTACGGCCAAACCACCCCGAATGTGCCCGATCTTGTCTAAAAACAGGGCAGGTACTCACCTCTGGTCGATTTTGTGCAAAAACACCAATAAACTGATCTGTATGTGCTTTACAGTTGTGCTGGAGAAGTCCAGACCCCAGGAATTCAGCCCTGTTGGCCACCTGTACATAGACATAGGGAGGTGATGGGGAAACATGGACTCTTCAGCTGAGGAAAGACCTATAGCGGGGAGTCCTACAGGTCTGACAGACCTCCTGGCTCCCTACCCAGGTTTGCAAAAAGTCTCTCGAGGATGCTGGCAGGAGTTAGGCATATAGACCATAAAAAAAAAAAAAAAAAAGATCCTTTGAAACCCAGTAGGGTGCCCGTAAGTTCCACAAGGGCCAGATCCGTATGGGGAGACAGGGTGGGGTGTGTTTTGTATCACTCACCTCCTGGTAGGATAGCCACTGGTAAGGCTGGTTGGGCTTCCTAAAACCAAGGCAGGGCCCGTTCCCTGCAGAGAGACAAGCAGGCCTTGTGCCAGGGAGGGGGGCAGTGGGAGTACCACTTTCCCCTTCCCCTCAGACACCCTGTATGGATGTCTTATACTGTAGGTATCCGTGGACCCAGGTAAACATCCTCCTAGCTGCCTGTCTTACCCACTGCAGCCCAACAGGGCCTGAAATATGCAAACATGACATCCCTCAAGGGATCAGACAGGCCCAGGAAGAGGACTGATGCAGTAACTGGTGCCCACCATGACTTGTATGACAGTCTCTACTGCAGACCCAAAAGGACACAGACACTTGAGGGCCACTAAGAGAAGGTGGCAGGTTGCCTGTGCGTGACCATCTCCCTTTGCCTCATGTTGTGGGACTGCTGAGACATGTCAGAGGCTCAGGTTCAGCTGCCAGTCAGTGACCTGACAGCTCTCCTGGGAACAGAGGATGGGGCCTGAGGTCAGGTAGTCCTAAGGGCTAAAGCAAAGCTGAGGTCAGTTATGGGTCACATAATGCAACTCCTTCTCTGGTGGGAAGAGGGTCAGGAAGGGCTCCTCTTTGCTGACACAGGCACTGCTTACCTGCTGCATAACCCCCTTGCACCTGCCAATGCCAGCCATGGCCCATCCATATCCCCACAGCCCATCTCACCTGTGATGCTAAGCCCACGGCGGAACACCTGGTACATGGTCCGGGCATCATCGTAGTAGTGGGTAAGCAACTGGGGGCCATCCCCTATCACAGATCGCCGGGCCCCACCACTGTCCTACAAGTCAAACGCAGACCAGAGGTGCTGGCTGAGGTAGGTTCGGAAGTCAGGAATGGGCCCCTCAAGCATGCACAAAACTGTACACAGCTGGGATGCACTCCTGCACCACAAGTTGGGGATTGAGAGGTGCTCTGTGTATGCTCACACATGGCCTATGCACACCTGGACTGTATACACTCGATCTGTATGTAGCCCCACTCAAACAGGGTTGGTTAATACACACAGGCCCAGCACACCAGTGCCTCACATACAGCATTCACACATCAGGTCGGCATACAAAGAATGTCCAGAATTTTCAATAGCTCTTCATAAACAGTCATACAATGGAATGGGAAGCATTTGCTGTAGTCAACTATCTCCTGGCATCAGGTCCAAGGTGTCTCTTACGCCATCATCTGCTGCTCGCTCCTATGTCGTGAACCACTTGGGTATAGTCTTTAGCTAAGGAGGCTATCATCTACCACTGACACAGTTGTGTGAATGAGTTAAGGACTGAGCTGAAGGTGCTTTCCCAGTAACAGAAGCCTAGACGCTGTGGAGGGAGGATAGGTGGAGTTATGTTAATTACTGACTGAGGCAGGCAGCACAGTGAAATCCTGGACACTCACCAGTGCAGATCCATAGTAGGAAGGAGTGAGTGTGCTCTGTGCTGGGGCTAAGGAGAGGAGCTCAGCATCCTCCCCTGCCTCCTCCCTTCTACCCTATAACCCCTCCCCAAGCACCCCAAACCCAGAACTCTTCTGTACCACAGCTCTGCCTGTTCTCAAGTTCTATTTAGGCTGCTCTGAGCTGGCCCAGAGCCTGCCACTTCTTGGAACATTGGGTCTGAGGAAAAATTGTGAGTGCCACAGAGCAAACAGCCAAACTCAAAACCTCAAACAGTTCTCCACTGTTTTTGGAGTGGAAAGTTCTGTTTGGCCAGTGCTTCCTGAACACCAGGCTCAAGACAGACCTGCAAGGGAGGCTGGGGACATATACAATCAGACCTGGTTAGCACCAGGGGAATGACAAGAGACTGTGTGCCAGTTACAGAGGAAGCTAAAGTGGGCATGCATGTTGGAGAGGGGCTATTCAGCTGAGTTTGGAAGGCAACGGAGGGATTTGCCAGGCAGAATGAGGAGCAGGCAATGGCAGTCTCGGTACAGGCAACAACAAGTGCATCTGCATAGGGCAGAAGCTCAGGTGCATTTGGGGGAACTGTGGGCAGTTTATGAAGCTTCAGACAGACATGGTGCAAGAACAGGCCAGAGAGAGATGCAGACCAAGGCAAGGAATCTGGACTTTAGGTGAGGACAACGGAGCCAAGGGAGGTTTTTTTCTTTATTTTTCTTTTCTTTTTGGTTTAACTGGGGTTTGAACTCAGGGCTCCATGCTCACTAATCAGGTGCTGTGCCATTTGAGTCATGCCTCCAGCCTGAGGAGAGGGTTTTAAGCTACAGAGCGATATGGTCTGAACTATGAACTATGCATTTCACATGTGGCACAGAGTAAGTGCTGCCAGGCCCCATGTGATGGAGACACCTCTTGAATCTCTCACCTCATTTCCTACCACTGTGTCCTTTGCCTACTGCACTGCAGCCACTCTGACTTTCTATGCTCCTGGAGGGTGCAGGGAGAGGCCAGAGATGGGTATCTTCCCAGGAAACCTTAGTTTTTGTCCCAGCCAGACTTATGTTGACTCATTCTGTCACGCTAAGCCAGAGCCATCCCTCCCAGCATCCTGACTCCATCCAACCCAGATAGATGCCTGCAGTTGCCTCTTCATGCCTGCCCTGCCACTGTCAACCTTCTACAGCACAAACCCCCAAAAAATCCATTTTGTCCACCCTGAGGATCCCTGCAGCCTCTCCAGGTGATTATATATAATTATAATCATAATTATAAGCTGCTTATTCTCAGTGATTTCTCTACATTGTCCCTCAGATTCTTACCACATCTTAGGAAGTAGCTGCTCTTTTCATTACCCACTTTATAACTGAGGACACTGAGGCTCAGAAAGTCAAGAAACTGCCAAGAACAACACAGCTAGGCTTCAAGCCCAGGACTGGTGGTCCCCAAAGGTCATTCTCATCAACACTGCTAGCTGCTCTTTAGTCCCTCTCTTCTACCCAGTGCCCAACACCAATCATCATTCCCCAAAGCCACTATGTACTTTATCATATACCTGGGCCTTTGCACACATTACTCCTTCCGCAGGAAGGAGATCCCAACCTCTGTTTGGCCTGGGCCCTTTCTACCATCATCGTGTTATGATCAAAAAGCAAAGTACACTACAGTGTATTTATCATGATATCACTTAAAAGTGGGGAGGGGGATATCTGCTCCTGACAGAACCATTAACACAAGTTGCCTCTGGGAGGATAATGGGGAAACCAGCAGGATAAGGTAGAAGCTTTTTAGTGTATGTCCTTTGGTTTCTTGAGAACTGTGTGAATATACTATTTATTCAAAATTAATAGAATTAAAGTTTAGAAAAGGGGCAAAAATTAATTCCATAAGCTTAATAAAGAAGCAAATCTCACCAGCCCTTCGGGTTTAGCGTGGAACACCTATCTTCTGAGTCACTGTACCTTCTTCTCTGTGGTGGCTCCACCTGTGAGCCCATGTGCTCTGAGAGAGACAGAGCCCTGCGGTGGACTTAGCTCTGGGTCCCTATACCAACCAGGACTAGTCACAGAGAAAGTTTGGAAGAAATTTACATGGAAGCCAAAGGACTATTTAGCCTACTGAAGCACCAAAGAGCCAAGACCCCTTACCCAAGAAGCAGGCACACCAGAGGCTCAGTTCAGAGTCAAGGTCAGGCTCTGCTCAGGAACAGTTCCTGGGAAAGGTAGAATGAACACTGGCAAGAGATCCTGCCTAAGCCTGCTACAGAGCATGTTGGCTGGATGCCAGAGGAAACCAGGATTCTCAGGACCACTTGAGGTCAAACAAGTCATAAATTCGGCTTCTACCTTTAAGATACCCATCCTCTGTCAGCTATTTTCTCCAGTCGACTGCTCCCACTCTGCTCACCTCCACCTCTTCTGACTGCATCAGCAGGTTGCATGGCGGTTGCAAGGCCTTCGGCCGGTGAGTGAGCCAGTAGGCAAGGATGGCAGCCAACGCACCCATACTCACAAGGGTGGTGGCTGAGAGGCTGCGGAAAAACTGGCCCAAGTCACCCAGCTCGGGCAGCCGCAGTATCCTCAGGATCTCCTGGGTCTGCATCTTCTCCAGAAGTGAGAGGACAAACTCTGTAGGAAACAAGAGGCAGATGAGGGAGAAGACCTGATGGGCAGCCAGGGAGGGATCTTGTGTCTCAGGTGGCACACTGACCTTGGCCAGGTTGTGGCCCAATATACTGAAGGGCAGGCCTTGGGCTGGTTGAGATGGACAGCCTCCTGGTGCAACACAGCACACCCCAGAGGCTGGCCATTTAGAAGGACCTTTCCTGGTGAGAGGCCAGAGCCCACACCTGACAACCAGACAGCCACATGCTCAAGGCCCCAGGCCATAGCTGATGGCTGCTTCCATATCTTCCAGCTGATGGCCAAGGTGTGGTCTGGCAGCTCTGGGTGTGGAGTCACTTGGGCTCCAAAGCTTGGGTTCTCTAACTCTCCTGTGAGACTGTGGTCATAGTGGTTTGCTTATCTTTGTTTCTGGGGTATGGAGAAGATGGAAGGGCAGCAGAAGAACCCATCACAGCACCTAGGATGAGTGGAGTGGAAGGATGCAGGCTCCACCTGCTCCATTTCTAAGCTCCCAATCCCAGGCCCTTCCTCTTAGGGAGAGAGAGAAGCAGTATTGGGCAGAATTGCACTGGCCTGGACAGATACCTTTAGGCCTTGTGACACAAAGGCAATGAACTATTTGACTATATGAGCATCATACCTCTACACTGCTACACACAGCTATTGCAATAGGCATAGCTGGCCCCACCCTTGACTGACACTGTGCATTCTCCCTCATCCCTTCAGCTAACATCCAGAGGAAAGGAGAGGTAGCAGAGGGAAACAGACATTTAACTGGTAGAAAGAGAAAGAAACCAAGGCCCAGAGAGAAAGGGCTAGGCAAAGTGCTATGTACAATCTGAGAAGTAACCAGTGTCTCTTACAATGATACAGATGGTGGACAGGGTGCCCTGTCACCTCTGGCAGTCCAAGTGGGCATATGGGCCTCTCAGAGAGACATGGGGGACTCCCTGGGGTAGATAGTGAAGTGGTTTCTGTGAGAGGCACTGGTGACTGATTGATTCCAGGACAGCAGGTCCTAAGGAGTTCCTGTGTCCTCCTATTAGCCACTAAGTAAAGAAATACTGACAGAGTAGACAGCTATCCAAGCTTGGGGTTCTGTACCTTGCCCAGGACTGAGGAGGGTACCTAGGGTGAGCCAGGTGTCAGATGTTGGCACCCATACTGGGACCTCTTCGTGTTGCTGCCAAGATCTGCTAGAAGCTTCCCCAGGATACCTATTGGTTTGTCATCCCAGTGATTGCAGGGTGGGCTCTGGGCTGCCATGCACCATCCACAGACACCTCCTCCTAGGTCCTTGACTCTTGGAAGCAATGACTGTGGTTTCTTCTTGAGAAACAAGAAGAAATGCAACAGTGGTTACTCTGCAGCCACGGGATGTGAGCCAAACAATTGCTTGACCCCTGAGGGAGGAGAGATCTGCTGAAATTCCAATAAATGGTATTTGTGCTAAACTGTAACACTGTCACACAGACAATGAGATCAGTTATGTGCAAAGTCACTGCAGAGAGAGAGAAAGGGAGAGAGAGGAAGAAAGAGGGAGAGGGGGGAAGAGAGGGAGGGAGGGAGAGAGAGAAGGAGGGAGGAAGGAAAGAAATGAGAGAAGGACGGAGAAAAGGAGAAAGAGAGAGAGACTGAAGAAAGCTCTTTGGTCTGAGTGCCTTATCAGCTGAGCACAGTTGAGCACATCCACCTGTCTGAACCTTCATTTCCTCTTGTTTAAAATGGGCACAGTACCAGTTGGGCACATAAAGCTTTTTGCCCTGCATCTGGCAAAGTCAGAGGACTAAAGAGATAGCTAAGGGATATGTTTGTCAGAACAAGGGGACTTGCCAGCCTAGAAAACAGAGGAGAGGTCAGAGATAGGCCTGGCTCAGGCTGGTCCAAACACTGGGCTTCACAGAAGGAGCTCATGCTCTACAGATGCATAACAGACTATCTGAATCCTAGGAATTCACCAAGCCCCCTCAGGTGTGGGAGAGCAGTGAAAGTGAGTCCCCAAAAGGCAGGGCATCTTCCCTGAACTGCTGGGCCAGAAGTCCAGTTTCAGAGGCAGCCTTCTTAAGTACGGTCAGTGATGAGGGTGCCCCACAGGAGCGCCCCACTCCTAGCACATCAATCAAGTTAAGGGTCTGCATCATCAAAGCAGAGGCCCAGGTATGGACCATAGTGAATTCACCAATGGAAACCTCTCTGAGGAGGGTGCTGGGTAGGTGGGCAGTTGGTCCTCTTGGGACACTGACTTCCCTACCTTGAAGATGGGAAGACCAGGTTGCAGGCAGGTCTTTAAAATTTAGGCATGGTTGCTAGCTCTTGAGTAGGGCTCTGAGCTGACTGTTTCCTTTACAGAAATGAGCTGACTCAATGAAAAATCAAGGCCCAAGAAACCCCTACTCAAATCCTAAGGGCTCAGCTGTATGGTGTAAAAAGTTTTTAAAGAGAATCTGGAAGAATATCTCATGACCAGTAGTCCCTGGCTCTTGGCACTTGCTCATAGATTTTTAAGCTACAGCAGAAAATGGATATTTGTGGCAGTGGGGTGCAATTCTGGAGTTGTCACAGAGCACGGCCCAGAAGGGCTAAGCCATTCCATCCATCTACCCATCCATTCCCCCATCCATCCATCCATCAATCATCTGGCAGACTCTCTTATGACCTCTACTCTCTCCTAAGTCACTGTTGGGCCTGGGGAAGGGAAGGCATGAGGAAGTGTACAGTATTGTGCAATGTGGTTCAGGCTGTGATCAGACATGGGTGCCTGACTCAGGTATGGTAAGTCAGGGCAGGCTTTGAGCAGGAAGTGATACTGATGTAATGCTGAACCACTTGCATTTACCCTGAGATTCCCCTGGGAGCCAGATGAAGAGGAAAGGTTGTAGAAGAAAGGAAGAAAGAAAGGAAGGAAGGAAGGAAGGAAGGAAGGAAGGAAGGAAGGAAGGAAGGAAATACACAAAGGCTGGAGTTGAAAGAGCTCATGGAACTCTTAGGGAACTGAATATGCCATTCAGATAATAAAGTTGTAAGTCCATGAACTCTTGTACAAAGTTCAGCACCCTAAGAATGTGAGGATGACCTCTGGGACAGGCCGAGCTTCTGGTAGTTACCATCTTAGCACAGCCTATGATGGAGGGAAGAGCAGGACTTAGCTAGATTTCCTGAATTCCTAATGCCTGGGGAGCCCCTTCCTATACACAGTACTGTTTGATCTTCATGCAGCTATTCACACTCACTGTATGGAAGTGGAGCGCAGGGACTCCCTCTTCAGTGAGTGACAGGACATGGTCGGCAAGCCATAGAGCTAGGTCTCAAGCCCTAAGCCATTCTTCTGTCTCACGTGGCCACCTCCCTGCCAACACTGGACCCATTCTGGAACCCATCCTCTCCTTAGTAATGCTACTAAAACAACAGAAAACTGACTCCAGTCTGATCAGAAGAGCCTAGGTCCTGGGAGGTTGGGGGATATGAAGGGTCACCACAGTTTGGTTGCGGGATCAGCCAGTTAGGTCAGTCATACATTGTTCACCCTGTGCACACCATGTGTGGACTCCCTCCTCGCCTGTCATCAAGAAATTTTATGGCTCATGCCTGTAATACTAGCTATTTGGGAGGTTGAGATCAGGCCAGCCCGGGGAAACAGTTCAAGAGACCCCACCTCCAAAATAACCAAAACAAAATGGACTGGAGGTGTGGCTCAAGTGGTAGAGTGCCTGCCTTGTAAATGTGAAGCCCTGAGCTCAAGCCCTAGTACCACCAAAAAAAAAAAAAAAAAAAAATCAAAAAACTTGTCATTAGTTCTCTTGGCTGTGTCCTTCTCCTCCCACCTGGGGTGATAAAGGGCAGTGTGAGAAAGACTTAGCTGTCCACTCCTCAGGTGAGGTGCCCAGCCTAAGGAGGCATCTACAGTGAATTCAGCTTCCCTGGCCCTAAGGCTGTGCCTGTGCCTGTCCTCGGCAATCAGAGGGTCTCATTCTTCCAGGTTCACCAATCTGCTCAGACAGTCAGAACCACTTGTATTTTCACTGTGATTCCCCTCAGATCTGGGAGCCATGGCAGGGCAGAGTTGTGAGTACAGGTCTTCTGAGGACACTTGCTTCAGAGCCAGCCCATACTCCCAAGCCCTTGGCACATAGGAGGCAGAGACTAGGTCTGGAAGTCTGGTCCCCTCATTATTTCATGGGACCTTGGCCTCTTCTGACCTCCTCTTTGCTGATTTGGGGTGGGGTTTGGTGGCACCTGGGGTTCCAGCCAGGGCTGCCTCCCTCCATGCCCAGGAGACTCCCTGGTGGCAGTGGCTGTGTGAGGATGTGTGCAGACAGCACCCAAGAGGATCAGTGGTGCTGTGTTGCCAAGCAAGTGGCTGTGAGTGTTTGTAAATATTCTCCTGGCAGGAGGACCCAGCCTCAGCAGGAGCAAGCCTCCTCCTTCTCAGCATAGACCTGTTCAGAATACCAAATGGTAGCACAGGCTTGGGACAGCAGGACTTCCTTCCACCTTCCCATGTCCTCTGCTAATTCAAAGCACATGGAGGGTGGGTGGTGAAAGCCACAGCTCTTGTGATCCAGAAGAGGAGAGAACAGGAAGAAGGCTGTGGGGGGTGGCAGAGGCAAGGCCCCAGAGCACAAACTGTGGAAAGGGTCCTGGGGTTCTGAGAACCCTCTGCTGGTGTAGCCTCCCAACCCAGCACTCTAGGCCTTCACAGTCTAGCTAAATGGCTCTGTGTATCTCTCAAACCTGACCCCATTAAGTATAGCCCAGACTCCCACACCAGCCTTTTCATAGGTCTTCTTGCTCTAAGTTGTGCTTACACTGATATCAAAGTTATTTTCCTGATACATAGACATGACTATGTCACACTGCTGCTCAAAACCTTATCTGGCTCCCCAGTGCCTTAGGGCCAAGGTCCAAGCTCATTATGTTGGTCCTGAGGGCACTCCATGCTCCTCCAATTCTTCCCTTCCTTTAGAATCACCCCAGCTTCGCTCCGTATCAGCCTGGATGGGGGT